GTGTGTCAGATCGCATTTCGGAGTATCAGCCAGAACACCGACAGGATGAGCCCTGGCATGCTCGGCTGTCACCTTGATTGGATAGTAAACGATTGTCGTAAAATCGCTGTATGATTTTAAAACCGGGTGCATAAATTTGAAAGCCACCTAGATGAACCTTAGACTGCCACATTAATCTAATACAATGCAAAAAAGCCCTATCAAAAGTGGTTAAAACATTCAAACCGAATGTCGTAAAGTCCCCATATATCCCCATAGAGACAATAAAATAGAGTACTCTAAAGTAAGAGTACAGTTTAAGGTTGTTCAGTCGAGCGTGGATGAGCCCGCAGTCGTGCTACAAAATTTGTTCTGGGGTATGATACTCCGAAATGCGATCTGACACACACCTTGAAAACGGGTAGCGTGGTCCGATATACCGGTTAATTCAGGATCCTAAGGTGCCGAGTCTGGTAGTTGGGTAGGCCTGTTATGGTATAAGCCCAATTTTACGTACAGTATGATAAACATGAATTCTGCTAGCAAAGGGTCACGGGGCCATCAGGACTAGTATACACGTTGAGCTTTCTAGTTAATAGTTCCAGATAACAGGAAAGACAATCTAAGGAATACATGCTTGTGGGACTATTTTTAAAATCTTTTTAATTGGCCTCTATTTGAAATGTTATTTTTATGTATTTCGTTTTCTTCTATCTCATTTTAACTTATTTATTTTATTTGTTTATTTTTCATCTTTTAAAGGTGGTTATATAAATAAATAAATAAATAAATAAATAAATAAATAAAACGGATTCAGAGTTATTTGTACCATTGGTAACACCTGATGTCTTTCTTGGAATCGTCATTAGAGCTTTTGACTAAAATATATATTTTTTTCAGAACCAGCTGTCTCACAAAGAACGCGAAATGGTTATCGATCTGCTCAAAGACGAGATAGAAATGAACGACGATGATGGTGAAGAAGATTAATAAAGGCCATCAGACACTCACGCAGACAGATTTTGACATCCGGAAGACATCGCATGTGTTCTAAACAACCATAATTTTGTCCTGTGGATTGACTTTTCTAACTCTTTCATTGGTCCTGGTGAATAACTTCAACGGTTTATCTTTTTATATGAAATTGAATTCATTTACAAATAACAATGCCACAGTCGGACAGTGTCTTGAAAATAGGAAACAAAATAGACCAAAATATACTGAATTACAGTAGAAATATAGCTAGTAATTTGTTGAGAAGATATAACTTACAATGCTATTTGTAGAGAAATATTACAATAATGATTGCTTTCGTGTGTCTATTTTAACTTAGCTATATACTTTTAGATTTTAAAGGAATGACGAACGTTACATTTTATCCATAATTTTTCCCTTAAATATTTATTTTAAAAGTACCTAATCCCGTTTTTAATACAGTACCTTACATTTTATATATACATTCAATGGGTGTCTTATATATTGCAAAGAAGCACAATAAACCCCAATAACAATAAATAGTAGTTACTGCGTTGGAAATCACCATCCTTTTTCTTCGTTATAAACCATTATACATGAGCACAAATATGATTCGTTTTCAAAGATCTTTTATTTTTTAATTTACAACCTAAAGCCCCCTGTACACTAGACGGTGTTCTTTTTGCGTCCCTCGATCAAAAATGTGGCCAGGAGGCTCAGTGGTCGCCAAAGCATGGTCGTCTCAGTGTAAATGCTTCTGCGTCCTTTCTGCGTCCGTTGAACGACCGAATCTAGATTTTACCTGTAAAAATGCGAACGACCTGTGCGTCCACTGAGCGACCTGCCAGCCCCAGTCAATTTAACACCTTTCTATTTTGAGGTGAGATAGCAATCAGTATGGGGCGTAACTTCATCCCCGAACAGTGCTTTTTCACAAAAATTGGTAGAGTTGACCACGAGTGTATAGGCTACAATCCCATGCCGTCATTTGGTTTAAATGTTTTTGTTATGGAGTTATGACCCCCTAATTACAGATTTTCATTAAACAAGGGCATTATTTTGCTTTATCAATGATAAAATCTGAACAAAGATTTCAAGAAAAATCGCTGGCAGGGTTTTAGAGTACTAAATGGTGGCATTAAACTGGCGTCAAAACGGTGATCGTGGGTGCTCAGGTAAAAGAGAAATTTAAGAAACCGATTTTTCAGTTTTTACCCAAAATCGCAATCATGACGTCACCCGTAAGAAGAGATACGTGTAAATTATGTTAATTAATTTAGTAACTAAACACTAAAAATTTCAAAGTGTATTCATGTGAAGTAAACATGGAGCCCTGTTGGTACACGCCCCTTGGGACGATCTATATGCGTTCTTCTCCTCTTACGATGCGCTCGTACAGCTCAGCATCAAGAGGAACAAACGCACGTTTCGTCTCATCCAGGAAGTAGAGTTTGTCGTCTTTAACTTCGATAGGTTTAAAACCTTGTCCTTTGAGTTGTTCTTTCCTCTGTTTGTACGTGCCTGTCAGGGGCGTTACCAGACCTTTAAAAATTGTATGCACAGACTTTTAAAATTCCCAGCAAAACGCAAGAGATGAAGGACAGCGTAATTACAGCATATGTACCACACATCGCAGCTTAATTTCCATTGATAATAAAATCATCATTTATTCAGAAATATTCTCGCAATTAAAAAAGTTTCAATATTCTTATCACCCAGAACGGTATATTTATTTAAAAGGAGGCTAGCTTCGCATATGTGGAACCCCCTTCGAATAATCCTGGATCCACCTCTGAGTTGAACTAAAATTAACATACGGTTTCATTCACCNGCGTCCTTTCTGCGTCCGTTGAACGCCCGAATCTAGATTTTACCTGTAAAAATGCGAACGACCTGTGCGTCCACTGAGCGACCTGCCAGCCCCCGTCAATTTAACACCTTTCTATTTTGAGGTGAGATAGCAATCAGTATGGGGCGTAACTTCATCCCCGAACGGTGCTTTTTCACAAAAATTGGTAGAGTTGACCACGAGTGTATAGGCTACAATCCCATGCCGTCATTTGGTTTAAATGTTTTTGTTATGGAGTTATGACCCCCTAATTACAGATTTTCATTAAACAAGGGCATTATTTTGCTTTATCAACAATAAAATCTGAACAAAGATTTCAAGATAAATCGCTGGCAGGGTTTTAGAGTACTAAATGGTGGCATTAAACTGGCGTCAAAACGGTGATCGTGGGTGCTCAGGTAAAAGAGAAATTTAAGAAACCGATTTTTCAGTTTTTACCCAAAATCGCAATCATGACGTCACCCGTAAGAAGACATACGTGTAAATTATGTTAATTAATTTAGTAACTGAACACTAAAAAATTTAAAAGTGTATTCATGTGAAGTATACATGGAGCCCTGTTGGTACACGCCCCTTGGGACGATCTATATGCGTTCTTCTCCTCTTATGATGCGTTCGTACAGCTCAGCATCAAGAGGAACAAACGCACGTTTCGTCTCATCCAGGAAGTAGAGTTTGTCGTCTTTAACTTCGCTAGGTTTAAACCCTTGTCCTTTGAGTTGTTCTTTCCTCTGTTTGTACGTGCCTGTCAGATCTAATGTGTGCTGGACACGCAGGAAAAGTGGCCTGGCATAAGCTGGGAGACTGTCGGAAAGACGATTGTAGATATTTTCAAACAGTTGCCATGTTAATTTCTTTTCTTTCTGCAACGTGACAGCAGCCATACCAAATCTACCCTCTATACCTAATTACGACAAAAGCATGAGAATTAGAGCCAAAGGGAGACGATTTTGTCTTAGAAAACAGTTTGGGTGTTGAGAGGCCCATTGTCTTTTGTGAGTGAAAAGTGAAGTCTAAAGGCGTAGTTCACGTGAGTTAACGGATGTTTTCATATCTGTGAGGTTAATAGTGGCTTCCCAACCCTTACCTGGCACTTTGACCCCATACACGCTCGCGTCCTCCACGCCTTCTACCTCAGCTAGAACGTAAGCGACCTCTAGTGTGGAAACGTTCTCTCCTTTCCATCTACAATACCAAACGTATCGTCTCAACCATTGTGTAGTAGATAAAGATATAATAGTATAATGTCTTTTTTTACTTACTGCATATGAATTACACTTAATTGTGTTTCGGGAATGAAAAAATATGAGAAAAAAGGAAGAAATCAACCATTTTCGACCCATATAATTATGTGTTGCTCAGCTCAAGGAGTTGTTTGAGACAAACTCTTTGCACAGATGTATACCTTCAAATTACTGAATCCAATATGATGCTTTACCTAAATGTATCCCCAACTCTGTCACTGAAGTAAAGAAAATAGTTACTGTCGGTGTACAGTAAGTCTCCGGAGTTGAAATATGCATCACCTTGTTGGAAAACGTTGCGTAATATTTTCTTTTCTGTCAACCCTTTGTTCCCTTTATAACCCTCAAAGGTAAAATTTCCTTTTATGGCTGCTATCAACAGACCGGGTTCTCCTAGGAAGGGAAGAACAAGTCATGATAAATAACTAGAAATAAAATCAGCAGCATTCAGCAATGACGAACGCCTACATATAAACACTCACGACCGAGTATACAAAACTGTGCTAAAATTTGGAATTGCTTGCTGAAGGTTGCTTTTTTATACAATCGATGTGAATGCATAGAGGCATTATAGTGGTTACTTAATATTCAATTAAAAATTCTTATTACAGGAAAGTACTGTGTGCCACACCTCTACCGACAAGAAACGTTAATCTCAGTAGAAAATGATCAAGGCAAATAATGTTGATAAATGATAATAATAAAAATGATAGTGATAAAAGGTCTACATTGTACCTATCTTGACAGGGATACAACGTTCATTTCTTACAGGTTCGTCGTCCTCGTGATCATACTTAACCAAGAAGCTCGGGAACACTAGTTGCTGAAAGCATGTTGATACGTGTTTCACAACTAAAAATATTAAGTCAAGGTCTGACAGCAATATCATTTTATTATATATCTTAAGCCTAGATTAAATTTGCCATGCGATGTCCATACAGTGCTTGTACACTACCCGTATCCCTTTTCGTGTGGCGTCTGTGCGTTGGCCTTGCGAAATCGTACGGATTCACGGCCTCCGTAGCCTCTGCGATTTCTGAAAGTTTTTAAAAATCGTAGGCCCGTAGACCGTAGCATTATAGTAGATGGCATCGCACAGTTCCCGAACGCACATTGTTCGGTGATCTTGCGGTGATCGTGATAATGGTTAAACCTGTTATTGGTCTCTTTACCTTCCATCTTTGGTGGCTTACAATATTACAATAGTAAAGATCTTTAAACTTTCAAATAATTCACTTGTATAGATTTGAAATTGTGCGTTTCCTTACTCTGACCACATTGGTGCTTAAAACCGTAGGGGGCTGTATCTATAACATGTCGATCTTCAAGAAAGCCGCACAGAAGGCGTCCGGTAACTGTACTGAGACTGAAAGGGTCCTGTGCGATCACCTTTCTACCGACAACCGGGTTTTTCCTACGTAACCTCAAAGTCATGTCGGAGAAATGGCACAACACCCGCACGTAATATAAACGTTTTTGCCGTAGACCGTAGCTACTTACGGTGCCCAAAATAATCGTACGGAAAACGTATACGATTTTATCGTACGGCACTCGTGGCAAATGTTATCTGGACTTTACTCAAAATTTAAAGAAAAAATAAATAAGTTCAGAAGCGATAAGTTATGTAGTAATATTGATAAAAATACCAACTTATTGTGTTACACTGTACACCGTAATGTACTTGCACCGCAAATATTAAATTTAAAACGAGAACAATTTTACTTTAAATTATAGAGAAAAAAGACCCATCTACCAAAGCAATTGTGATAGAGGTGATGATATTGCAATGTGCCGTTAAAAAGGTTGTTGAAAAGATATAAATATACCAAAAAGGGTGACAGTCGCCCGCACGAGAGCGGTTTGTTGTACGTATTAGAAAACCAGCAATTCCCCTCTGTTGAAGCGTAAAACTCCACCATGTGGTCCACTTTGAATCGGCTCTGGAACTTCAACCATATATCAGACCGCAGGCCGTTTCCTACCCTCTACCAGGGCGACTGATAGATTTTTCACAGATATGTCTCTAGATAGATAGATGGTCATTTTAGTTCAAACTGAGTTTGAACCAAAATGACCATCTAGAGACATATTTGTGAATATCTGTAAAAAAATCTATCAGTCGCCCTGGTAGAGGGTAGCCGTTTCCAATGAAGCAACGCACAACGTGTCGACCTAACGTGGGAACAGCCATCAGGAAAGCGCCTCGGATATAACGCAGGTGAGTTATAATGGCCGGTTTTGGAAGACCTGTAGGACTAAGAAAAAATAGGTTTTATTTGAAAATGTGTATTCCTGACTATGTCTTGTATATTAATTCCAAATTATAGATAGATATTGTATCTTGAGTTCAAAACTTCATTTACAAGTCAATTTCAGTAACCGTCCGATCCAAGCAATGGATGGGTATTCTCACTGACCGAAACCAAACTCCGGTAACTTTTTATTTAAAAGCCGCATAATCTCCTACCAGTTATTCCGGATGTATACACATAACTTAAAGGGTCGATCAATGTAATGCCTTGGCGAATATGATGAGGAATTTCTTCCCCACTGGAGGAAGACTCTGTGGCCTTCTGCAGGTGGCGAAAATTCTGGGGGGCGTTTTCCGTAATTCCCTCTGTGCGATTTTTGTGAAGACAAAAGTGTCTTCCAATAATTATTCGAAAGAATATTTTTATTTGACTTGTATATAGAACATCTTTGCAAAAATCATTTAAATTTTTTTAGAATTTTTATTTGTAAAGCGCTTTTAGTTGCAAATTGCACTGAAACGTATGTTACAAAAGTGCTACACAAGAAATATAATTTTCATTGAAACTAAATTCTCATTTTGAATACCAAGAAAATGGCACAAAGCTCAATTTCAACATTGGATTTACGGGTACAGTTTTTCTAAACACATTACAGAATATATATATATATATATATATATATATATATATATATATATATATATATATATATGCTATGTCAGCTCAATTATTTATCCAAATTGTTATCAATGTCGTGTTTGTGTTGTAGGGAATGACCTCGTATACCTTATGACCAATGATCGACGTTATGAGCTACGTGTGGACATGGAAGATGTGACGGGAAACAAAACCTATGCCCTCTATAACTTCTTTGCCATTGAATCGGAAAAGACTAACTACAAACTGAAACTGGGCGCATACACAGGCAATGCAGGTAACCCTCGTGTACATGAAGTCACAAACTTATTCCTAAAAATGTGCACCTTTTAAGAAATAGATATAACCAGCTGTCTAAAAGAGTTTTAAAAAATCAAGATGAAAAGTAAGGCCCAAGCACAATACGCAGAATCAGTTCTTCATTGTTATTTTTCAGGTGACTCTCTTTCTTATCATAATGGGTATCCGTTCACCACAAAAGACAAGGATAATGACAATCAAAGTAGTGAAAATTGTGCAAAACATTACAAAGGTGCCTAGTGGTATGTAGTCTGTCACGTGTCCAATCTTAATGGTTTGTACCACCTTGGTCCACATACATCATACGCTGATGGTATTAACTGGCACTCATTTAAAGGTTACTACCATTCTTTAAAAAGAACCGCAATGAAGATTCGACCTATCGGGTTTAATACCGAATCTGTTGTCATTGGATATATGAAAAATAACTATAAAGCCCTTTCAATCCCTTATCTGGTAAGAGCACCGGCAATTGAAATACAATTCAGTTTTTCAACAAGTTAACATTGTGTGCATACAAACGTCACTTCGTTATATTTTACAGTCCTTTTTATTATCTATTTTATGTCGTTTTATTGAATCTTATTTATAAAAAAGGTGGTACAACGGTACTTTATTTGTAAATTCGTCTCCACAATAAATACAAAGTGTGTCAAAAATAAATAAATAAATAAATAAATAAATAGAATAAAAATAAAATAAAAAAAGTCACCCAAATTTTTTATAAACTGTTATCATAGAAAATGTGAAACTAATTTTTTTTCAAACCCTGAGATAATTTTAGAGCTCAAAAGAAAAAATAATAATTTGTAATGTTTATTCATATCCATTGAAACTTGCATAAACAATAATAACTCATCTTGAATGGTTTTCTTATAAGGGCGCATTCAGAGCAGATGATCATCAGACTAACTGATCCATGGACCCTACTTAAAAGAAACCCTGCTGGTCTCCCCGCCTTCACAAGCGCCATAGAAGGATTAAATCTTGGTTCTGAGGTTCAATTGCCAGGTCCCTGCAGGGACAGCAGGTGTGGAAGCGGGGAGATAATCAGGGGGTTAATCAGCATTGCTTTTAGCGGGTCAGCCATATTTGAACTGCATATTTGTTAGGCCCCATTCAGACCAGGGGACTAACTAGTCTGAGGGTCAAATATGGCCGATCCACTTGAATACTTCCCCACGGGGAATCTATGCAGAGTCTAGTAGCGGATGAGACGGCAAGCTTTTTAGTGGGTCGCCATTTTTGACCCGCGGACTAGTTAGTCCACTGTTCTGAATGCGGCCTTTTAGTCCATGGATCAACTTGTTGTAAATGCGTCAGGGGCAGATTTAGGTCGTCTTTTGGGTCTTCCGGAAGACGGTCAGATTTTCAAGTTTACATTGATGGGTATCTAGTTTTTTTTTTCTGTCGGAAGTCGGTCAAAAATGGAGAATGGATCAATAAAGATAATTTGGAAGCCTGTCAGAAAATATCTCTGGATCCACCCCTGCTTAATGAAACTATCCTTCTCTGCAGGGACTTTGGCTGAATGCAAACAGATGAACACACCTGCTTGTTTCCAACATCCTAGATAAATCACGAGCTTTTTTTAATTCTACTCAATGTCAGACATGTTCATCTGATTGCACTCAGCGAGAGTCCATGCAGAGTAGGATTGATGTACGTAGAACAATGGTTTCATTGGGAATAAGCCTTTAGATTACACTCCTATTCATGCAGACAAAAGACGCCAAAGAGTTCTAAAGGCAATGTAGGTAATCAGACCTATAAACAGCGTACAAGTACCTAATATTTAAATGATCGTACGCTTTAACACGCATGGCAAGTTAAGTTTGATGCTAATACAGGTAATGAATGTTTTTCAATTTGTGAATTATTTTATTTCCAAATTAGATAATAATAATTTTTTAGTTTAAACACAGTCATAAAATGCTTTATTGTTTATGTAAAGATAACTGTGTAACTTGACTCACAGGACAAACGAAAAATCTCTTTTAAAAATCTAACATTAGTCATGATGAAATAATTTAACAAACCTGACAAAGTTTAATTGCAGTGTCAAAATTCTGCTTATAGAATAGCTTAAAATGTCATAAAAATTTAATCTTAAAGTCCTTTTTACTCCATTTCCATTTATTTCATTTACAATCACACAGGTATGTACAAATACAAGAATGCATTTGAATATAAAAAGAATCTAATTTTCAATCAGAAAACATCACTTCAGAGAGATTTTGCTGAAGAATCAGGAATGTTTCAAGCTCAATATCACATCTGAATGCAAAATGTTACGTATAGATAACAACTTCATGAAAAAAGTTTGATAAAAAACATCCCACTATTAAAATATACATTCTATTTTCACCAATTTGACATTTCTATTAAGAATGTTCGGTCAATTAACAACAGCGTTACTCCTTCTGAGCTGAATTATATCATAATTCTTGCATGATTTCTATCAGACAGACAAGATCATCCTGGTATCCAGTCCCTAGACAAAAGATTGGTAAATAGCATTTACAAAAGTACTATGTAAAAAGGCAAGCCGGTACACCTGACATGCAGGGCGACCTCAGACTATTGACACTGTATGGCACTGCTTTGGCATGAGTTTTAAATTTGCAGTTAAACAATAGTAAACATGGCCTCTAAGACATTGGATGGAGCATGTGTGAACTGGTTAGGTTGCTGACCCCCTGCATACACCTTAATTCGACCTGGAAGACAAAAATTTTTCTTGTTAAACACTGAAAATTGTTTGAAAATAAATAATCAAACTCCCTATCCCTATTCTACCACTTCCCCAGGGGTCAGTCTATCATTAAAATACATCTGTGAAAAAGAGTCAGTATGAAGATGTAAGTTACATGAGAACATCATTAGCTACTTTTGTGTACCATCCATTACTGTTATTATGTAAAAATGTTTTTTTTTCATCAATAGAATAATCTGAGATAATTCCAAGTGAAGCAAGTCCCTTGGCTACCTATACCTTTATACAATGCTATCAAATTATGTGTTGAAAAGAAAAGTTAAATTATGACAATGAAGAAAAACTCCATCATATTCCTATGGATAATGTCTGCTACCATTGATCTGACATGAATAGACCACTCGGGGAAAATCTGTGCGCAAATATCCATTACCTGGTTCAACTACGCAAATATTCATTACCTGGTTCAACTACAAATCCCTTATTGTCCTCCCACACTGCCATTTGTTCTGCTGTGATGACAAACTTGTGTGTGACTGTCTGGCCCTTTTGTATATTGACTCTAGCAAAGCCAGCTAACTGATATCTGGGGACAACGACCTTGGAATCCATCCACATTATGTATATTTGAATAACCTGGAATTTCCATCAATATTGCTTTTAACCAAAAGTGAAGTCATTTCTTTGACATATTCATTCCAATTTCTCAGTTTCCTTTTACCTGGGACCTACCTGACAGAAAAATAACCAGGACCCACCTGGTGGGTCCCAGCTTTTACCTATCTTACCTTTTTTCTATACAGAAATATGTGACTGCAAGAAGGTATTTCCAATATATTTCTGGTATTCTTGGCAATAGTCATTATCATCAGAATAGGTTTAAGTAATTTTACCTAAATGCTCATTACATATGAAGTTTAAGGCTGTCACTGCACACACTAGTCACTTCCTTTAAATTCATATGCTTGAAATATGCACAAGGTTGACAATAACAAAAGTTCCATTTCAATTTAAATAAATATACATAGACATATCTTTCAAATTGTCCTTGGTATTTTCCAACATCAAGAACATATGAACATCATTTACCTCATCTCCTGGTAAACTTCCAATATTTGTCACATTGACAGCAATAGTGGCATTATTTCCAGCTCTCACAGTCACTGGCACAATCAGGTCTGAGTACATGAACTCTGTATAAGAGAGACCATAGCCATAAGGGAAGAGAGGGTCACCTGGCCCAATCCAGTACCTGTATGTGCGCCCTATCATTGTATAATTTGTTATCGGTGGTACCTGAATATTAAAAACATTCTTAAATCACAAGTAAACTACTGAGCATTATTTTTTATAGTTTCATAGGATCATTAGAGGAAAGTGTTAGAAATATCTGGTCAAAAATTCAGTATCTACTCTATTAACCCTATAAAATATTAATAACATTACACTCTTTTAATATACTAGCCAACATTAACAATTTACACGCCCTACTGTATAACCCTTTAGAAATATTTCTCAATCACCTGTGCATCGTTAGCCGGCCACGTAGCAGGCAGCCTGGCTGCAGGATTACCATGAGCCCCTTGGTTCCACAACACCTGTATAATGGCATCACCTGCTGCCTGTGCTGGGTAGAAGCAAGCCAAAATGGCTGACACCTTGGAGCTCTCCTTTGCCCATTGCACATTCACAGGACCAGCATTGAAGAGCAACAGGATCACTGGCTTTCCACTAGCTGGGAAGATGAATATTTATCTCCTGTTTATCAACCAATGCCAAACTCAATATCAGGATACAGATATATCTATTCAAATCATAATTGTAATTCTTACATATGCTGACACATTAGCAAATCCATGTTGCCAGGATGGGTTGGATAGGGGCATTGGGGGGGGGGGGGGAACAATGACACATTTGCTGAAAGAAATGAGGTAAATGTAAAATAGCAGATAAGGGCAATTCTACTACAATATATAGAGTACAAGAATGGAAAATCATTTGTTTTTGTCTAGTTTTGCTTGTTATACTGTTTTTAAAAGGGAGAAGGGTTACCTGAGAAGCTATTGCCCCCCCCCCACATCTGCCATTTCTGAAGTCTTAAAAAAACACTGTATCCTAAAAATTAAGTGCTGTAAGTGAAATAAAAAACAGATCAGTTTTGATATACAAATATTTAAATTTCTATACATCATATTGTGCAAAGCAATTGTCATTTAGAGTTTGAAGTTATAGCTGTGGTCACCTACCAATTCTGGTTGATTTTCACAGCAGTTAAGAGGATATTTATTTAATAATTTTACATTATTAGTAATTTTACATTATTATTATTAGTAACATTATTTAAAAAATACCTGCAGAAGCAGCATCCATGATGAGCCTTGATTGGTTGCCTGGCAGCTCGAGACTACTGCGATCCTTGCCCTCTGCTTCTAAATTCCAACCTAAAATTTTCCAGGTAAATATGGCATACCAAATTCATTAAAACCTGGCCAAATGTATTAAATAAATATATGCAATAAAACCTTTCTTATGCTATAACTTACTGTTAGATATTTTCATATTCCTAATTTCAATCATTTGATAGAAAAGTGATGAAGTTAACTTGTAAACATTATAAAACTAATAAAAAATATACATCAAACTAATAAAAAAATAGTTACAAGTTTAAATGGGACTTTGCATGAACCATACAGAAATGAAACCATATTCAGGTCTAAAACAGTAAAAGCATCAAAGGAACCATACCTATTCCTGCACAAATCACCACTGCATCCACGTTTTGTGCTGCAGCATTGATGACTGCTGTTGGGTTGTAATTTGTGCATGGGTTGAGGTCATCACATCCTTGGGCAAAGAATACCTGCAAAAGATAATGGAAAACTAATTTCATATGAAAAAAATAGAGCTGATTACAAATGCAAAATAAAATCTTGCAATCAAATTCCTCAACTAAGGCAAAAACTATAGTGCATTTTTTATCTTAAAAAATTGCAATCATCAACCAGACAAATTACAAAACAAACAGGTGAACCAATACTTTAAGGTGCTCACCTTTTGGGCCATGGTGGTCAGACCTTGTAGTGGGGACCTGAAGTATCGAGTGTCCACTGGGGCAGAGTAGTCTCCATAGATCTGATATGAGGCATTGGCCATTGGGCCTATAATCTGACAAGAAAAGTACTCAAACTTTGTAGCGTAATGCTTATCCACAATGTAATCCATAAATCAATTAATAAATTATAACACATTTTATATTGCCATATCAAGGAATTATATAACTAAAATACTGAGCTTTACATATCACTACAGAGTTCTACATATCACAATTACTGTCTGTGTATAAACAGTCTGGCACCTAAAAATTCTCAGCAAATGTGCATCTTGTTGTTTAACAAATACTTACTGCTACAGACTTTAGTACAGTTTGTAGGGGTAATACACGTCCAGCATTCTTCAACAAAACAAAGGACTTGGCAGCTGCCTCCACAGCCAGATCTCTGTGTTCTCTGGACTCAACATAACTTAAGTCATATTTGCTGTATGGGACCATCTGAGGTGGGTCAAATTCCCCAAGTCTCATCCTTGTATAAAACAGAGGTTTGACCATTTGTGTCACTGTATCTTTTGTGAGCTTTCCTGCCTCTATGGCTTTCCCCATAGACATATACACAGCTGTGGCATTGAGATTTGGTGAAAGTTCTAAATTGGTTCCAGCATTGACACATGCTGCTACAGTGTCCACAGGGTTTTTAAGATACTTATGATATGATATTATGTTTTCAATTGCACCTTCATCACTGACAACATATCCTGTGAAATTCCATTCTTTCCTCAATATATCTGTAAGCAGTTTTTTGTTGGCACAAGTAGGAATCCCATTTAGTCTGTCAAATGAAAATGCAATTTAGTAAACAATTAGTTAGAAACATAATCCATTTTATTTGTAGGTATATAATTATGTAATTCATTGTAGAGATTCTCCAAGAGAGAGAGAGGATTGCACCCTGTAGTGGTTCTAAAACAGAATAAGTTTTCATCTTTAATTTCTTATTATCTTGCATTACTGTTACTCCTGCTATAAGGCTTATCTACATTAAAACCATGACAGATTAATCATATGTATTTAAAAACACTTTATCAAATGTGGATATGAGTATAAGAACCTTAACCTGTTGTAGCTGCACATGACACTGTAAGAGCCTGCACCAACACAAGCCTTGAATGCAGGGAGGAAGGTTGTCCTGAAATCTCTCTCTGAAACCTATTCAAAAAAAAAAAAAAAAAAAGGAAAATAATATAGCAGTAATTAAGAAAAAAATGCCATGTTCAGGGCCATTCAATCATACTACCCCCTTGATTTAACATCTCTTATCTTTCATAAAACTTTTTTTTGTCAATTGCATTCCATCAAATAAAGTTCAAGTAATGTGCATTGTTTATTTTCTTTCAACTTTTCATAATAAAAGCTGTTTTCTGAAAGAATGATTTAATTTTCCCTCTGTCTATTCTGTTGCAAACTCTTGGCAAAACTCTTGATAAATTTGCTGCCTTGGTTCAAATCAAGAACAGATGCCCAAAAATATTAACTAGTAGAGAATTATGTGGTTCTTTAAGTCTTATTATCTATTAATTTTTTTTCAAAAACATAACCTAAAGGTCATTAATCAGAGAATGTTATTACTATAAATATATCCTTTACCTTTGCATCAAACCCAAAGCGTGACACAGGTATATTCTCTGGTCCACCGTGGACGTCGAAATGTTTGCAGCAGGCATTAGCCAGAACATAGCGTGGGTCTTGTCCTTGTAAGCCATGGACAAAGTTTTGAGAATACACACCAGAGAAATAGGGATCCTCTCCATAAGTTTCCTACAGTTTAATCAAAACAAAAGGTGTACATTAGCAAGCACTCCCAGCCACTCTATCCAACGTCAATATTAACACACATAAGGAAGTAATAGAGTAATTGCTAGTTAAACCCTGTTTCAACTCACAATTTTGATATCCAAAGGCTTATCTCATGTGATAATCATCCCATTTTATGTTGGGCAATGGTTACTGGATTCATGATGCAGATATGATGACTAACCCATTAATGTCATACTTTTTTTAATATCAAAATTGTGAGTTGAAACGGGGTTAAAATAACAATTTTTTATCACCNAGAATCATTAGAGGAAAGTGTTAGAAATATCTGGTCAAAAATTCAGTACCTACTCTATTAACCCTATAAAATATTAATAACATTACACTCTTTTAATATACTAGCCAACATTAACAATTTACACGCCCTACTGTATAACCCTTTAGAAATATTTCTCAATCACCTGTGCATCGTTAGCCGGCCATGTAGCAGGCAGCCTGGCTGCAGGATTACCATGAGCCCCTTGGTTCCACAACACCTGTATAATGGCATCACCTGCTGCCTGTGCTGGGTAGAAGCAAGCCAAAATGGCTGACACCTTGGAGCTGTCCTTTGCCCATTGCACATTCACAGGACCAGCATTGAAGAGCAACAGGATCACTGGCTTTCCACTAGCTGGGAAGATGAATATTTATCTCCTGTTTATCAACCAATGCCAAACGCAATATCAGGATACAGATATAACTATCCAATCATAATTGTAATTCTTACATATGCTGACACATTGGCAAATCCATGTTGCCAGGATGGGTTGGATAGCAGATAAGGGCAATTCTACTGCAATATATAGAGTACAAGAAGTGAAATAAAAAACAGATCAGTTTTGATACACAAAATATAAATTTCTATACATCATATTGTGCAAAGCAATTGTCATTTAGAGTTTGAAGCTCTAGTTGTGGTCACCTACCAATTCTGGTTGATTTTCACATCAGTTAAGAGGAAATTAATTAAACAATTTTACATTATTATTAGTAACATTATTTAAAAAATACCTGCAGAAGCAGCATCCATGATGAGCCTTGATTGGTTGCCTGGCAGCTCGAGACTACTGCGATCCTTGCCCTCTGATTCTAAATTCCAACCTAAAATTTTCCAGGTAAATATGGCATACCAAATTCATTAAAACCTGGCCAAATGTATTAAATAAATATATGCAATAAAACCTCTCTTATGCTATAACTTACTGTTAGATATTTTCATATTCCTAATTTCAATCATTTGATAGAAAAGTGATTAAGTTAACTTGTAAACATAATAAAACTAATAAAAAATATACATCAAACTAATAAAAAAATAGTTACGAGTTTAAATGGGACTTTGCACGAACCATACAGAAATGAAACCATATTCAGGTGTAGCATCAAAGGAACCATACCTATTCCTGCACAAATCACCACTGCATCCACGTTTTGTGCTGCAGCATTGATGACTGCTGTTGGGTTGTAATTTGTGCATGGGTTGAGGTCATCACATCCTTGGGCAAAGAATACCTGCAAAAGATAAAGGAAAAATAATTTCATATGAAAAAAATAGAGCTGATTACAAATGCAAAATAAAATCGTGCAATCAAATTCCTCAACTAAGGCAAAAACTATAGTGCATTTTTTATTTTAAAAAATTGCAATCAACAACCAGAAAAATTACAAAACAAACAGGTGAACCAATACTTTAAGGCGCTCACCTTTTGGGCCATGGTGGTCAGACCTTGTAGTGGGGACCTGAAGTATCGAGTGTCCACTGGGGCAGAGTAGTCTCCATAGATCTGATATGAGGCATTGGCCATTGGGCCTATAATCTGACAAGAAAAGTACTCAAACTTTGTAGCGTAATGCTTATCCACAATGTGATCCATAAAACAATTAATAAATTATAACACATTTTATACTGCCATATCAAGGAATTATATAACTAAAATATTCAGCTTTGCATATCACTACAGAGTTCTACATATCACAATTATTGTCTGTGTATAAACAGTCAGCATCTAAAAATTCTCAGCAAATGTGCATCTTGTTGTTCAACAAATACTTACTGCTACAGACTTTAGTACAGTTTGTAGGGGTAATACACGTCCAGCATTCTTCAACAAAACAAAGGACTTGGCAGCTGCCTCCACAGCCAGATCTCTGTGTTCTCTGGACTCAACATAACTTAAGTCATATTTGCTGTATGGGACCATCTGAGGTGGGTCAAATTCCCCAAGTCTCATCCTTGTATAAAATAGAGGTTTGACCATTTGTGTGACTGTATCTTTTGTGAGCTTTCCTGCCTCTATGGCTTTCCCCATAGACATATACACAGCTGTGGCATTGAGATTTGGTGAAAGTTCCAAATTGGTTCCAGCGTTAACACATGCTGCTACAGTGTCCACAGGGTTTTTAAGATACTTATGATATGATATTATGTTTTCAATTGCACCTTCATCACTGACAACATATCCTGTGAAATTCCATTCTTTCCTCAATATGTCTGTAAGCAGTTTTTTGTTGGCACAAGTAGGAATCCCATTTAGTCTGTCAAATGAAAATGCAAATTAGTAAACAATTAGTTACAAACATAATCCATTTTATTTGTAGGTATATAATTATGTAATTCATCAGGGGCGGATTTAGGCCGTCTTCTGGGTCTTCCGGAAGACGGTCAGATTTTCAAGTTTACATTGACGGGTATCTATTTTTTTCTGCTGGAAGATGGTCAAAATTGGAGGATGAATCAACAAAGATGATTTGGAAGACTGTCAGTAAATATGTCTGGATCCGCCCCTGATTCATTGTAGAGATTCTCCAAGAGAGAGAGAGAGGATTGCACCCTGTAGTGGTTCAAAACAGAATAAGTTTTCATCTTTAATTTCTTATTATCTTGCATTACTGTTACTCCTGCTATAAGGCTTCTCTACATTAAAACCATGACAGATTAATCATATGTATTTAAAAACACTTTACCAAATGTGGATATGAGTATAAGAACCTTTACCTGTTGTAGCTGCACATGACACTGTAAGAGCCTGCACCAACACAAGCCTTGAATGCAGGGAGGAAGGTTGTCCTAAAATCTCTCTCTGAAACCTATTCAAGAAAAAAAAAAAAAAAAGGAAAATAATATAACAATAATTAAGAAAAAAATGCCATGTTCAGGGCCATTCAATCATACTACCCCCTTGATATAACATCTCTTATCTTTCATATAACTTTTTTTTTTGTCAATTGCATTCCATCAAATAAAGTTCAAGTAATGTGCATTGTTTATTTTCTTTCAACTTTTCATAATTAAAGCTGTTTTCTGAAAGAATGATTTAATTTTCCCTCTGTCTATTCTGTTGCAAACTCTTGGCAAAACTCTTGATAAATTTGCTGCCTTGGTTCAAATCAAGAACAGATGCCCAAAAATATTAACTAGTAGAGAATTATGTGGTTCTTTAAGTCTTATTATCTATTAATTTTTTTTCAAAAACATAACCTAAAGGTTATTAATCAGAGAATGTTATTACTATAAATATATCCTTTACCTTTGCATCAAACCCAAAGCGTGACACAGGTATATTCTCTGGTCCACCGTGGACGTCAAAATGTTTGCAGCAGGCATTAGCCAGAACATAGCGTGGGTCTTGTCCTTGTAAGCCATGGACAAAGTTTTGAGAATACACACCAGAGAAATAGGGATCCTCTCCATAAGTTTCCTACAGTTTAATCAAAACAAAAGGTGTACATTAGCAAGCACTCCCAGCCACTCTATCCACCATCAATATTAACACACATAAGGAAGTAATAGAGTAATTGCTAGTTAAACCCTGTTTCAACTCACAATTTTGATATCCAAAGGCCTATCTCATGTGATAACCATCCCATTTTATGTTGGGCAATGGTTACTGGATTCATGATGCAGATATGATGACTAACCCATTAATGTCATACTTTTTTTAATATCAAAATTGTGAGTTGAAACGGGGTTAAAATAACAATTTTTTATCACCTTAAGCACAGATGGACTTTTAAAGCATTTGACAAAATGAAAATGTTGCCATGACCCTAACTACATTACCAAATTTACTGTGAACTGAGAGGTAATCCTACTTATCACTGCTTTGAAGCCCACATTCTATTATTTGTAATATTCTCTTTCTTTTTACACAAGAGAAGACTACACCAAAACTGGGAAATACTGTGAAAATGGATAATCTGTAACTGTCAGTAATAAACTAATTACTGGTTATTATTGAACCCTTTTTTTTTCTAACCTGATTTCTTCCCCAATATGGATGCCTCATAATGTTTATCACAGGAGCAAAACAACTGATGCCAGTGTGGTCTCCGTAGTTCCCCTTCTTGATGTTATCATTGTACTTGGCTCTTGCCTCTGTGGCTGAAGCTCTGGCAACTCGAAATATCAGGTCTGTGCTGCAAATATATTTAAAACAGAAACTGTACTGACATTTTTGGTTTGGTATAGCTTTTTTTTTGTTATTGATTGTTTGAACTGAACAGTGTACCCTGTATCATATGGTACATCAGTAAACTGTGTGAAAATCCACATACACTATGAAATCTAGTTAAAATATCCACTAAAATCTTCTCTAATAATTTAGGATTTTTAAAAAGATTTGTTGGTTGTTCCCTCATATGTAAAACAAGGAATCAACATACATCCATGGAGTTTACACAATGGTAAGATACTAGCTAGTACTGCTGGGGTCAAACCCCCCCCCCCCCCAAAAAAAAAAAAAAAAAAATTTAAGAAAATTAATTTTAAAAACTTTAAAAAACATAAAACAAAGCAAAATCCTCCATCTGCTTGTTTCTTTTTTATTTCTACTAAATATGTTGTTGATACACACATTCATTTATACATTTTTAAACACAGGTGTGTTTGGGGGTGGTTCTTTGTTTACTTTACGTTCACTATGTTGAAATTAATTACCAAAATCTACGCTGCGCAATAAAATTCTCATAGCCTACCTAAATGCTGCAGCCAGTCCCAGAGCTTGGGGAAAAGTAGTAGCTGTGCCTCCATAACCTACCCCACGCAGGCACTCATTGTTCCATTGATGGGGGGCGATCCCCAGTCGAGGTATCGCCGGCGCAGGTCCTCCCGGTCCTGCGCCTCCTTTAGCCATTTGAAGAATAATCTCTTCCAATGTTAATCTGTCTACAAGATCGTTCACCCTATCTGCCCATGGCAGAGACGTGTTTCTAAATGGATAGTCGAACGTAAAAGATGCATAAAAATGAAATGTTACCAGGACAGCAACGAGCACCCTCCTTGCAACCGCCATTTTCCAATCATGTGACTGGAGAATTTGACCTAATTTAGGTTTTCACCTTATCGGTTTTATTGGACTTACGATTGAACAACACGAGTAATAAAAACAGGAGTATTCGAAATATAGCCAGTAGTAACGTATCGCACGCACAATGAACAAAAATAATCTAATCTAAAACATTTAGGTCAAGGGGGATTCCAGTTAGTGACGTCACAACTGAGGGGATTCTTAACCCAAATGTAAACAATGCACACGTGGAGAATTCTCACGGTACAGAATCAACAGATGATAAACCGGCATGTATCACCAAATTGAAGATGTTGAATATGGGGACACGTGCTAAGATATACGTGGCACTTGTTTTCTTTCGTTTCAGTTTTTGCTTTTGGGGTGTCAGTTGCGAAATAAGTGACAATAACTACAACGAACCAATAACCAAAGAAGTAAATGGCATCAAAAGCGAAGTACACGGAAAAGAAGCGCAAAAGTACTGTAAAACCATTCGGATCAGGTAAAAGGCAACGAGAGATTGAAACTCTAAAGGGGTTTCCAAAACCCTCTGAATTTATCAACGAATTTGTTACACCAAGTTCTCCTGCCGTTTTCAAAGAAGCTGCCAAAAAATTTCCAGCTCATAAAAGATGGCAACGCGATAGCTATTTTCTTCAAAAGCCACAGTCTGCCACATTTTGGCTCGAGATGGACATGGAATCAGGTCTGAAAGATTTGACTACCTTTAAGAAGTTCCTGCAAACTTACCGGCAAAATGAGTTGAAATTAATTGATGTCCTCCCTTCATATCTCCAGTAAGTGAATCAAAATACCTATATCAATTGTTGTTATGATTATTTTAGCAAAAATTTTCATTGGCTTTGTAGTTGGATCATTATGAAAATTATCAAACACAAGCCAAAAAACTTTCATACCGTCAGCTTACAGCCAACCTGGATGTAGGCCTTCATCAGACTGATGTGAGCAGATGTTGACACTCACTGACTGCAATGTCTGCTCACATCAGTCTGATGAAGGCCTACATGTACATGTACATCCAACGGTATGAAAGTTTTTTGGCTTGTGTTTGCTATTTGCTACTTTTCATTTATGATATTATTATTTTGTATACTATACATATGACCAATTGTAGAGTTTTTATAAAAAATACAATTTAGAGATAGATAAAAGGGTATTAGTTGGCAAATTCTTTCCCATTTATTTCACATATTTTGAGGTTTACTCATTAGTGTATTTTCTTGAACATTTACTAGTAAAGATGTCCTCCTTCCTTCCTGTCTTCTTTGTGGGCCAATTTTAAAGCAGTTATCTCAGCATGTGAGTACAAAATAAGTAACAGAGGGACATGCTTTGTGGATAATGTGTGAAACTTGTTAAGGTATTGTTAATTACGCTTTGAATTAACTTTAAAAAGGCTACCTGATACAATTATTTTACCATACAAGTACACACAAATTACAACTTGGGATGCAATTTTGTGATTGTAATTAGATATTACTGGCTTTTGAGCACAAATCCCTTGGGATTTGAGGATATTTTGCAATATGTCTTGTTAGACAGTGCCTTGTTTAAGACTTCACTTTTACTTGAATAAAAGGCTTTTATAATGACAAATGATGAGGATAGAAGTCCAGTATTGTTGAGACAAGAGGAAGACACCATTACCTGCCTCATCTCTGGGGACAGAAGTGAGTTCACACTGGTTAGTTCACCCAGGTTCAAAGATAAGGTTTGTTTCATTACTGTACACTTACAATTATAACAATTTTCCAGTTATTTGCAAGAGTCACTGGATTTTAAATTTTCATAATAAATGAATAATGCTGTTCACATGTATAATTTTTACACACGCAAAGGCATTTCCAGGACATTGCTGAGGGGGGTGGGGGTACAGGTGGATAATATTGCAGACACAGAAAAGTTTGCCATAAAACAATGTAGGGGATGTGAAAATTAAGGGGAGAAGGGGTCAAATCAGACTGTGCCTCCCTGGACCTGCCATTGCACATCCTAACCAAGTGAAATTGTACACTTGAAATAATAACAATCTTGGTAAATGAATAGTTCAGTTTTATAACAATCAGTATAGACAGGCTATCTGGATGGAAAATGGCAAAATATCAATTGTTTGAAATGATGGAATGTACACTGAGTACATTTTAAATTATGATCACACAACTAAATAGACAATTTCAGTGTACAATATGCTTTTTTAGTTTCCTGCAGACTTGAGGAAGTTGGATGTTGAACAAGTCGATCTGACCCAGTACCCAGGTTTAGCTGATGTTGAATATCATAAGGCAAATCTGACCACAGGGGACTGTGTTTATATACCAGCTAAATGGTAATATAATCTGTTTATAATTAACAATCAATGCTCATGCTTGAGGCATCATTTCAGAAAAATTCAAGCTCTTCCAACCACACAAAGGTTTTCATGATCAAAACATTATCTACCACTGACATCTTTATTTCTCAACTTTAACTGTGCCAAAACTTAAAAATTAGTTTATATTTAGACTGAGTGTACCAGTAGAGTGCTAAAAAATAGAAAGGGAACATTTTGCTCCCACAGGAGGGCCAACACACATGGGCAGACACAGTCAACTTTAGTAATTACTCCCTCAAGTATAGATTGTTACACAGGGGCCATTCAGAATGAGAAGAACCAAGTGCTAGCTGGTCCACAGCCTAAATTTGGCGTACCTACATGGAAGGAAGACTGCTTAATCCTGTAATGGTCTCTCCGCCTCTTTCACGCCTCCCCACGCGTCGTCCCTCAACTGGTTGAATTGAGCGTGGATTTAATTACTGTGCTTCTGCAGAGAGGATGCGTGGGGAGGCATGAAAGAGATGGAGAGACCATTACAGGATTAAGCGGTCTTCCTTTCATGTAGGTCCACCATATTTAGGCTGTGGACCAGCTACCACTTTCTCTCTTCTCATTCTGAATGACCCCATAGGAGACCGTAAATGGGGTGGTTTTAACTAGACATACATACACCTACATATCTCCTTCAAGGTACTACCAAGTGAACAGTTTCAGCAGAACAACTGAGGTAGAGGTAACTTGGAGACGTCAGCAAAAGTCCACTCTGATGACAGAGAAGTCATGCAAATCCACCATTTCTGGTCCGCCCACACTGGACAAGTTCCATTTTAATAATCTCTCTAGGCATGAGAACCACATGGAGCACAGAATTTTGTAAGCCCCACCCACAGCCTTTTTGTAACTAGCAGCAGTATAACATTATTTCTGTGAAGACTTTTAAAGATATATGTATTTGATACTGTAAGGACCAGTTTAATTTTTAATATTTGTAAACATAAATAGCTTTCTATATGATAGCTTATGTAAAACTGCTCATTTAGATAAATTTGGTATGTTGTAGGCACAATTTCATTGGTTTCCTGAGACATGATGTAAGACTGACACTGAAAGAATTCATTGAAAAGATGAAGAAAGTAAGAATGAATACACCCCTCTTGATAATATGAATATTTTAACGTATTGTATCTTTCTTTAGATAATTGTACATGCAGTTGTGAGCAAATTAAATGCTCAAATCAACATACATTTTAAAAGAAAAATATGTTCAACATAATAGAAAACATTTTCAATTCTTTTAGGACAAAATGCTAAAAAATATGACAGAGTGGAATGATGAATATGAAGATATAGCTAATGAGGTAGGGGAATTCTAAATATTTGAAGGAGATAATAACCTTTTTACTTTGAATTACATGCCTCATGAACTACAAGTATTTTCATTCACTTGCAAATAAATGATATATGCAGGTCCAAGTGTGTGGAATAAAAATAGCAATAATTTAATATATTCAGGAGGTATTTCTGACATTAGTTTTAAACATATCAAACTTATTTGTGTAATTTTTGTTTAACAATAATGGACTCTATACCAACAGGTTTTTGATGTATTGAACTTGAATACAGATGAAGTATTTTCTTTAGCAGACATAGATGCACTCACACCTTTGGTAAGCTTAGTTTTATATATCAAACCATGTAAAACTGTAAACATATGTAATCTCCTGATCAAACTACAGTTTAAAGTTAAAATTTGTATGTTCTTTAAATCTTAAATGCACTGTACTGTTGTAGAAAAAATGAGAACTTTTTGAGGTATTGCATTGTACTCCTAAACAAAAATTGCATAAGTGCACCTTTTATTAAAAATTGATACATGAATATTTTCTGTTTCAGGTGTATATAAAGCAAAATTTTCACCAAATTTATAGTTTAGGCCAAATAATCTGTAAATGAACAAATTTCCATTCCAAGGTAATTGACCAAAACATGTTCATTATTGAAATCTTTATTAAAAACTGAATTCATGTGATACCGTACACTATATAACATGTGATCTCCACAAGAACATTGGTGAGCTACTATACAGTGTATTTACAGAGTCTTGAGCAAATGACAGGACTTCTTGAAGATCGAATGGCAGACTTTGAGGAGATAATGCAAGACCAAAATGTAGCCAGCTCAGCCAAATCAATTGGGGTATTTTTTTTATTTAACAATATGTGCCAACCACTTTTAATTAATAAGTTGTGATCATGTCATTACATGAAGGCAAATATCTTAGACAATTAAAATATACTTTCATAAATTGATAAGGAACTAAGACCAAGGTATAATTTGCCAAAGGCCGACAACATTGTTTAAAGTCAAACTGACACAAAAACAAATATAAAACATGAAATTCAGAATTTTTTCAGAATTGTTTTTAAAATCTGCATTTATTATTATTATTATATGAAGAATCTCACTCTAATGTTCTTGCATGTAACTAGTTTGATATAAATGGAGGTTAGATATAAATGGAGGTTTTATAATGTGTGTTCCACAGGGTAAGTTATTTGACCAAGGAGCTTTGGCTAAACAAGAAGCACTTTTGAAGAAAATGATAAGAGAAGCAACATCCAAGATACAAGAATTCAAGAAGACAGCTCAAGCTATAGAAAAATCTATACATCAGTGTAAGTAACACATGGGGCATGACGATTTAAGAAAATTTGTAACAGCATCACTGAATACTAGTAAACAAAGTAGAACACCGAATTGGACAAGATACAGAAAAAACATTCATAAGTTAGTGCGTCAGTTTTATGTGCAGGTATCTAAAAACAATACTTATATTATTTGTGTACAGAATATGTTTTGTCAAGAAAGCAAAAATGCAAAACATAATCAAGAAAATCATTCTTTACATCATTCAAAATTTATATTTCCAGTTTAATATAAAAATTCTAATTTAACTGGAAAATGTATAACCCTCCTGTAATTCTACGTCCTTCAACTTTTGAATTTTTTACATCATTTACTATTAAATAGAAATCATTTTATCACAATATTTTTTTTATAAAAAATAACAGCAGAAGAAGAGATTAGACAAAAGGAAAAAGAGGCATATGCAGCAGAACATAAAGATAGAAGTACTAACAAATCCAACAAATTTGGGGAAAAGGCAACAAAACCAGATCATAAGAAGAAAGATCATGAAGTTGCATATCAAACAATGGATGACAGTATTAAAGAAGGTGACTGACATATAATAATCTATACATGATTTGTTAGAAATATCAAATCTAAGACAGTAAAAAGTTTACTTTAAACAAAATTTTCCAGGTCATTTATTAAGCACAGTGAATACTGCAAACATGCATTTACTTAGCTACTAGAATATAATTTTTGCTGTTATAAGATATTATAATTTTGACATGAAGTTAATCTTAAACATGGTGCAGCAGAAGATAATTTGATTCTTTCCCTGATTACAACAAATTGCATTTCAAATACTCACACCAACTTTAGCCATTGAAGATGAAGAAGAAATTATTGCTGAACCTGACACAATAGAACCCACCACTAAAGCAGCCGAGACACCTGCAGAGAGTGGATCTTTAAACCAAAACCAGTCCAGTATGATCTCAGAGCAGAAAAATGTAAAAAAGAAGGACATTCATTCTGGTTCAGACAGGAATGTAAAAGATGAACTGTAGCCATTTTGCATCCAGTAACAAGTACATCTTGATGCTAGATTACAATTTACTTCATTTTGTGGTATTATTTAGAAAAACTAAATTTATGATACTACATCTGATTTGTGGCAATTTTTAATGGATTTTAAAATATTTATTCTTTAGGTTATTCCCTGATACCATGTTTGACTATGAATTTCTGTTTGTAGTTATATTTAAAAACATAAAGCAAATATAACAAGACAAGTATTAACTTACAGTTTTACAGTTTTAATGATTTTTAAAACCACTTAAGTTGCATAGAGAATTTTAATAAAAATAATGAAAACAACAACCTTAAAATATCACTTACTTAAAAACCATAAGCCATATTGGGCATTATAAATGAAAATTGGTGTTTGTTACTTGAAGACATGAAATGATGACTTAGGGAGTGTTCCCATAAACCCATTGTACTAGCTGGATCGATCTAACTCTGCAGGGATTCTTGCTAAACTGCATTTAAGGGTAAGTGACTTAAATGCCTATCATGCCTACTCCAGCTGCTTTAAGTTAGTCAATTATCCCTAGTTAGGGGGGGGGGGGGATGCCAGACAATTAGGCTGATTACACTAAAAGCACTTTAGCAAGAAGCCCCACAGAGTTAGATCAATCCAGCTAGTACTGGGAATGCAGTCTTAATTGATGGCATAATTTTAATTAATAATAATTAAAATGACTTAAACAGTAATTTAATGGTCAGATTGTACATGTATAGATAGTTACAATAATTGTTTACAAGGTCTGCAAACAGTTATCACAAAATACATATTCTTTTTAATTTAGAAATTGACTGTGATCCCAACACACTTAATATGTAGCAGCAAACCTCATATTCAAGTAGTCCAGGGATGAGACAGGTTCGTACTTATTTGACCCATCTAGACAAGTTATGAGGAAGTTATCGTCTGGCTGGACAAAAAAAGCTATGGACTGCCGTACCTGGCGCATGAGCAGCTCTTTTTCTGGAATGAGCACCCTGTGTTTCTGAAAGATATTTACGGAGTAATGAATCATAGTATGTGATACATACAATTAATAATTCGAGTTTTTTTACAGGCACAAACTGGTATATTCTCTTTGCATAAGTAAAACTAACATTAGCTCCACTCCCCTTAAAGTTGAAATAACTAAATAATAATAATAATAAATGAATAAATAAATAAGCTGGAAAACAGAAGTATGTATGTCTTTGTTACCGTTGATTTGATCTGATCAGCAGTCCATCTTTGCATGAGGTCTCCGACATTAACCAATACCGTGCCTGGGATAGGGGGGGCTGGCACATACATCCCATCTACTCTTTGCACCTGAAATAATATATCATGAGTATGCAATGACAAGTGTCTCATTTCAGTATGATGTATTAAAAATTAAAACAAGAATGTTTAGCAAAATTATATTTCAAAACATATTTAAATGTCATAAATAAATCTAAAAATAACTAATAAATCTTACAGAACGAGTGTCCTGTACTGTGCACGTGTATTGTGCATGTACACAAGTGAAACATAGTCAATATGAGCTTATTTTTTAATGAGCAAAGCTAATACAACAGATATTTCTTCTTACCTCTAACCCTCCTATATCATCTTGAAACAAGATTGTAATGGAGCCATAATCAGAATGCTCTCCACACCTCACCTGACCTGGCTTGATAGCTGAAAGGTAAGATCCCAACATTATATTTGTCATAAAATTTAATGTTGATCTTGTTATATGTCTGCATGGATTATTTAAAAGAAAATTTAATAAACATGCATCTTGTGTATTACATACAGAGGATCATTCATATAAGATCTGGCATTAATACATACACCCTTCAGGGTCCAATGCAGGGTAGTATAAACTTCTTAACCCTGTAGCATTCCCAGGCTTGCCAATCAATTTGTGGGAATTGGTGAAGATGTTGTCAATCTTAAAAGAGAAAAGTGGAGAGTAAAAATTATTTTCTAGACAAATTCATAAATACAACTATTTATAAGCAAAGTTGAATTTTATTTTTCCTTTTTTACTTCCAGAACAGCTCTTTGAGTGGATATCTTTAAACTGCACCATCTGAAATAATTTTTGTACAGACAAAGGGCTGATTACGGAGATAAAAATGTGTTGGATGTCTTAGGGCATCAAATGACATGACTCTTTTCATTAATTAAGCATAGCAGACTCCAGTTGGAACAAAATTTGATTCATGTTATAATGTTTTAACCTTAACCTTCACATTGACATTTCCTGGCATTCCTTCATCCAGTGCCTCCAACACTCTAAAAGTTAACTGTTGTGCCTCATCAAATAAATCAGCAAGCACTGGATTAAATGTTGTAACTTCTTTAGGCAAACAATTCTGTAAAAAAAGTTAAGACATAACTTTTTCCATTATGTATTAGGATTTATCATTCCAAATTACTTGTGTCCTCATACATTTGTACTCTCTAAAGCTAATATGGGCAAACATATGCTTTTAAATTATATTAAATCATAAATTTATACAAGGATTTTAAGCACTCGAAAGCATGTTATGTTATTAAAACTTAGTCTGTAACTACAGGCTAGTGTAACAGTTTATTTCTAACATGATTGTAAGAATTCTTCAAGTTCAAGAGTCTTTTGCTTTCAGATGTGCTTCAAACAAGTGGTTGCTTGAATGTACATGTACCTTTACATTTTCTTTTTTACTAAAGTTGAACGCTTCTTTCAAATCAGCAGGCCTCTCAGGATTGAGGCTAAAGCATTAAAAAGACATTTTGAAACATGTAGACAAATTAAGGGAACAATTTTATTCAACATGAAATGAAATAGAGAGATACCTTCATTCTTTACAAGCACATCTTCAATTTACTCTTATGACAAATAGAAATAATGGTCTAACAGCTTGAAATTAATTTGCTTTGTACAGGGCTTATACAGGAACATTAAAAACAAATTCAAGGACTTTCAAAGACTTTTGAAGCTGTAATAAAAGTATTTTCAAGGACACTGAATGCAATTGAGGGCAATGCACTGTCCTTTATAAGTGTACGTGCCAAATATAAATGACATGTAATATTTCATAGAAACTTTGCATTTTAACACATAATTGTTAAAACATGAAAAAAAAAAAATAAAATAAAATGATGTCCAAAAGGGTATTCTCCCCTTCTTTCACTTTTTGTCTATTTGAAATAATTTTGAAGAATTGCTTAGGGATCATATTCAAAAAATTTCAAGGCTAATTGCAATTTCAAGCATTCTCAAGGCTGAATTCCAACTGATTGAAGGTGCAAGGTTACTAGAAAATTCAAGCACTTTTCAATGCTGAACCCTGTTTATATAAGATGATAACTTCAATAAATTATCAAACATATGCAGATATCTTCACTGAAAGTATGACAGCATGGATTTTATAGGACAGATACAACTAAGCTCTGTTATCAATTATATAAACATCACTTTTTTCTTAAGCATTTCACACCTGTTGACATAGTTTATACAGGCCAGTTATATAGCCAAGACATTTAAATGATTTTTTCTAAACCTGTACCAGTGTCAATAGTGATGAACCAGTACAGTGTACTTGTAAGGTGTATTAATCAAATGTTGTCACAATCCCTATACCTTTCCCGCTCAACAGCAACCCAACCTTCATTCGAGTCTGTAGGCCTTGCATATTTTTGCTTCACAATCACAGGTAACTGAAAAAACTCCCTTGACACATTGAAAGCTGCTTCTATCTGCAGAACAAAAAGAAATCTACTTGTAAATATAAGCAATCAGATAACAAATGTTTTATAACTATCCATAGAGATGCCAAGATAACATTACCACCAGAAGTCTGTAAGAGAATACCAAAGTTTAACATGACAGTAGGAAAGCTAGCCTTAATGGTTTGACAGATATACTACTGTTATTGAATCAGCTTATGCACTGCTTTGCATTTTTCCACACTGTGATTTATATTGTCTATTTATCTACAGGTTTAGCCTAAACCCTCCATATGAAGTTTTACTTTGGCTGTGCATCATGAAAAATGTAATATTAACATTACCACCAGAAGTCTGTAAGAGAATACCAAAGTTTAACATGACAGTAGGAAAGCTAGCCTTAATGCTTTGACAGATATACTACTGTTATTGAATCAGCTTATGCACTGCTTTGTATTTTTCCACACTGTGATTTATATTGTCTATGTATCTACAGGTTTAGCCTAAACCCTCCATATGAAGTTTTACTTTGGCTGCATGTGCATCATGAAATGTAATATTAGTGCTAAGTAGAAAAGAAATGTGACAATTAAGAGTGTTCAGTGCTTCTAAAAGAAAAGATTAAGGGAGATTTGTACATTACCCCTGGTAGGATTTTCCATATCCACTTAGATAATGGTCTCGATTTCATGTTATTGATTAGAAACAGATCTCCCTTAATCAGAACAGCTAGCAATTAATAAGTTTTTAATGCCATTTACTCACAACAATATTAAGTACTTCAGTTTGGAGAAGGCAATTTTCTGGAAAGGTTTATACCTCTGATTTTATCAGTACAGAGGGGAAAATATGCCTTTGTTTACTGAAACATTGTAAATGCATGTACCCTTTAGACATTTTCTTTTAGGGTCCTATAGAAAATTGGTCCAAAATCAAACAGGGTCTTACTGGTATATTATACGACGCCTAAACAAATTTCGGCACCAGATTGGGGTCTCGCACAGTACTTATATTGATAAGTGTACATAAATGTACGCGTGGACCGACAAGAAGGGAACTGATACCAGGCAGATACACATCCTCTGAATGCAGTTTTGGTCAACTGCTTCACCACAGAGGTTGGGTACGTTGTAGCTTGGACATAATAACGTTATTATGTCCAAGGTTGTAGTTAGAATGAGAATCAAAGACTCTGTCTAGGTATAACCGTGCATCTTGTACTTCTGCAAGGTAAATATAACTGAAATTGAAATTCGAAAAAACTTGCCTTTGGCGCCGCAATACCATGGTTCTTCAGGTAAACAAACCCTGCTGATTTAAATGCACTGTATATCTCAGCCCCTATGGTTCCCAAGGATTTCATTACTCCATCATGTCCAAAAAAATCAACAATCGGCACCTTCTCCGTTTCCATTGCCGTGCCTTAGGCTCTAGGTCTACGTGCATTACAGAGGAAGTTAAACTCAACGTTTGCATCTAGGTTAGCTCAGAGGTCAGTCGATTGAGCGATGTGATGACGTCAAAAGATTCTAAGTCAGTCAACGGGCTGTATCACCTTGATTTTACACCATTCATTTATATATATATATATATATATATATATATATATATATATATATATATATATATACGACACGGCTATTTTATTAATCGATTTTGATCATTATATTCATTTTGGGGGACTAGTATATGGTATTTAGAGTATGTGATTTTAAAACTCATTATGGGTTTAAGTCAAATTACCATTAAATGCGTTATTTGAAGTCATATGGGAGTAAAAAAGGAAAGCTGTATTTGTTCGGAGACAAGACTGCGTTTTAGCTTCACGAAAGACCGATTAGTCTAGGTGTTGCATGTGCGGAAAATATTCATTCGTTTGTCTTCATCTCCAAAATATGAAGTCAAAATCTTATGTTGCTTTTGCAATATTTCTTTATTTTATTTTTTTTTTATTTTAAAAGGGTTTTAGCCATTCTTATTTATTCATCTACTCAAGAATCATAAACTGATCTGGTCGCCTCTGTATTTGATGTTTTATAGAATATCTAATTAGATGATTAGTTCTATATATCTGACCAGATATTGAGAACGCCATATGATATAGGCCGTTAATTGCTCGTAACCGTTACCTAAATGTTTTGATAAAAGGCTCTCATGTTTTTAATTTGTATGCTAAGTTTTCAATAAGCAATCTATAGTATTTCCTAATTGATCAAATCAAACACTTACAGGATAATTTGTAAATTTTATTAGTGTGGCCTTAGCTACAAAGTTTTCAGTTCAAAAAACGTAAGTGGATGTGCAATTTCTAAATATTTCTACGGGGAGATTTCTACTATAGCCTATGTGGGGTTTGCTCTCCTTCAGAAACGCAGATATAGCCTACATGTCATTAATTAAAATGTGAATAAATAAACAAATAAAGAAATAGATAAAATGAAAAGACAAGAAGACAAAAATATAGAAACACAAACAAGAACAACTGTTATAACAGCCTGCAACGGATATTCTAATCTAAGCTACAAATGATATGTACATTTCTTAGTCATAGTCTCATACATATTGGAACGTGTTGTGAAGCGTACAAAACGTCGTTCAAGCAAGAGTTTATTCTTAATATCATGGTACCAGAGAATAACTGACTATTCTCAATGTCAAATTCACTGCATACTCTTATGTATATAATTGTCTTTAGATTACATGTTTGAAAACGCAACTAGGTATGAATTCTTTAGTTTCACGCACGTCCCTTTTCCTGTTGTCAATCAAATCTAAGGAGGTGATCAAATGCGAACGTACTTCAAATCTGTCCAGTTGCGCTGCTTTAAGACATCGCAAATATAATATGCTAATGAATAATAATTGTGAATTTATGTATACAAATATTGGAAAAATTACGATAACCTCCACAAAGAGTTCACTGGCGTTTCGCTTATCTAAAGGTAAGCATTTACATGAATATTCCATATTTATCCACACGATTGTTTTCAACGATTATTTTCTTTGTATGATTGTTCAAGGCAAAGACCTGAGATCCTTCTTAGGAGGGGGTCCGACTTTTGGTGGCTGGAGTATCTTGTGTTTAGCCTCAAACTGAATTATTCTAAAAGATAAAAAATAGAACGACCTTATTTAGCTGTGATGGAAGTTAATACAGTCTTCAAAATACTTACACGTTAAGTGTTAAATAATTATAAGCCTAAATTTCCAAATGTTTTTTATCTATTTTTTTCACTGTATGACAATAATTTAAAGTTTAATGTAGTTATATATCATTTTGGACTATGACTATCACTGGCGGGCCAAGGTAGATGGCGCATGGATTATATTTATATTGCTCCCCACCTTTTTTAAAAAATAGTATTCATTCCATAGCATGCCATAAATCAAAGTACTATAAAAAAAGGGAAAAGGCTCCTTGAGATCCAATCCACATCCTATCCCTCCCTGCTTGAGCAAGTCTTGAACATGCCAAATACTCTTCCCTCTTAACAAAAGGTGGCCGATTTTTTTCGTTTAAAGTCGAAAAAAAAGAGATAAAGTAAAAAAAAACTTACAATTTAAGTTGAGGGGATCGCCTGCTCAGCATCATAGCTAAGAATTCGTGATAAGTTATAGTACCAGAGCTGTCAGAATCCACCTCCGCTATCATGCGTCGAATCTCAAGATTAGTTCGATGTACTCCCAACTTCTGTAGCATTCGCTTCAATTCCAAAGCATCTGAAAAATTGAATCCAAACATTATTCTTAACAAAATGTCATAGCTCTCTCAAAGAGAGATAGGTGATATTGATGTGTGCGTGTTTGCGCGCGCACGTGTGTGTGTGTATGTGTGTGTGTGTGTGTGTGTGAGAGAGAGAGAGAAAGAATTACTCACCAATATCACCAGAGCCGTTTTCGTCAAATTCCAAGAAAAGGTCTACAATGAATCAAATAATATGATTTTAAGTACAATATTCATACTGCATGTTTCCTTCACTCCCATAGAGGGGTACATATGAGCAACATTTCACTAGACCCCGCTAGGGCTAAGCAATTTACTCACAGATCTCAGGACAGCGTAAGGTTAAAAGCCTTCTGGTGAAGAGCTAGGCTTGAGTGCATATATTTTCAGCACCTACAAGCACAACATAATAAAACCAGAGATGGTGAGAAAACAATATTTTTATTCCCTATTTTTTACAAAATCCAGAATATATTAAATTCTGAATTCACTATGATGCTTATTTCCAATTCATTAAATATTTGATTTAATACTATTTTGTTCTCTCAACATCTTGGGTGTAATGCATTCTTGTGCACTTACTCTTGTAAACGTGAAGCTTTTCTTGAAGATGATCGACGTCCCTGTATCTGTCATCAAGTAGGTACATCTGAATTTTTTAAAGCATTGTAATTACTTTTACACATGTACTAACTTCTGCGCTTTGCAGAGCGTGTGAAACAAGACCTGTTACAAAGCTATTAATATTACATTTGCGAAGTCGCCAGAAGCAATCCTAACCATGAAACGGTGAAGTGGCAACACTTTTGATCTTTGTCCAAAGCCCTTAAGTCAATTTTGTCAGGTATTATGCAAAAGAAAACATATTGTAGACTAGCAACATTTTTCACACAAAAATGTTATTTTGGTATTAGTTAACATTAATGACTGTCATTTGACTAAAAGGTTTCATTCTATAGCAATATTTTAAGTAGTCTAAGGATCCTGTCCTGTTATTAAATAGTCATACTTTTAATATATAAGGCGTACCCTATTCATGCGTTCCAAATGTTTAGACTGAGCTTCTTTCATCAACCCAAAAAACTTGCCGGCTGAAAAATGAGAAAAGAAAAATAAAGATAGATTTACCTTACGCCGAAATATTAATAAACTTTTTGATTGTTCAAATACAAAAGAAAGACGCCTTTACAACATCACTAAAACTCCGCCTACATTTTTGATCCGGCGGTAGGGACCACAAATATCCACAAGGGTTTTTCTCACCCTCGCTTTCGAAGACTCTCCCAAGAGCGGCGACTCGACCTGTCTTGACAGCGGGAACACTAGGCCTGGATGGGGAGGGTGGCGGACTGTTTCCGCGTTCCGCAGCGGCATCTGAGCTTTGCTCGTCGCTGTTCATTCTTTCAGCACACATACGGATAAAGGTATATAAAGAATCTACTCTCCTGCTCGACAACTGCTTTGGCAACTGATATTTGCCTCGTTATTAAAGAGGTATGCTGGATAAGGTGAAATTAGAGTGTCAAATGTAAGTAATTGTTTTTTGCCTGCTGTTTTTATACGACATCCTTACTTTCGCTTCTGGCAGGAAAGCGGCCATGAACCGGTAAGTTGATTCACGACTATTATCCCAATCAACAAGCACTAAGTTACAAGATTGGGCAGTGGTAATTTGAAAAGGCAATTGATCCCGACCTCTAACTTGTTCTTTCCGGGCATGTTTTCTTTTGTGAGAAAATTCCGTAGAACATTCATTTACTCATGACAAAGTTTACATTTAGTGCCGTACATGCACTTGAAAAATATGTATTTTGTACATGTGGGAAGGAATGATATAATTGTGAATTAACATATTTTATTGTATTATATTTTTCCGTTTACGGCCGTAGCATGTGGTTCTCAAGCGCAAACAATACCAAAATTATGGAAATGAAGGTCATTGGGGTTATGGCATCAACAGGATACTGTAAATGATTCACAAGTTGGACGCAGTCTTCACAAAAGATCTAGATGCAATAGTTCTCCAAAAGATAGGTCACACCCCTTGTTCACTTCTCCCAATTTAACTTTATTAAATTTTATCTACGAAGTTATGTAATCGTGTACAGGAAATTCAACCAAAAAGTACAAATGACGGGGCGAACTACATAATTTTAAAATCTCTCTCTTTCTCTTTTTTTTTGTCGTTCACACACACACACACACACACACACATGCACCATGCACCATGTGCTACAGCCCACCTGAAGTTCCAAATACTTTTCCTGGGTTTGTCCATGGGCTCTGATAACTCATGTCGATCACTGCTTGACTTGGCTTGACGTCAGACCGCAGCAGCAGAGCCGCCCAGGGTAGACGAGGAAAGGGCTCATAGTCCAATCGCCTGGAAGCAACGATACTCGGTCTTACCAGACGTGATCTTTCAATACCTGGTCGTTCCCAACTGCGAATTCTTCCCTTGTTTGTAATCAGTAAGTCAACCTTTTGTTGCGGGCTTTTCTGCCCATTATTATTTTCAGTTCTCATGAAGGATGGGTCCTCGGTCTGTCTGTCTGTCTTAATGTCTTCGACGCCGTCTCCGCTCCGGTGTCTCATCGATGACGAAGAAATTGGGTGGGATTTTGTTAGCCAAACGTTTGAACTGTTCTCTGCCTTGTTTTTTTCTCTTTGATTTTCCTCTTCTTCCTCGTGATCATCATCCGATAATCCAAAATCTAGCCGAGATTCCCAAATTGTAGGATCCTCTGTATTCGAATTCTGAGGAACTGCGGATTTCTTTAAGATGCTTACGGGTTTGGTTGTCACCGGTGTTATACCCCCAGTATTATCGGGAAGCGTTGACATGCGAAGGGAATGTGTAGTAGGTTCGCTCTCTTTATTCAAACTGCCCCGTCTTATGTTGGTGCTAGCTCTTTGACTGGGTCTTCCAACAGCGACAGTTAGCGACGACGTGTGATTCATTATCACTGTGGTAGTGATTTTCGTAGACGTAGTTGAGGTGCCTATGCCAAGCCGTTTTCCAAAGTCTAATTTGCGTTCAAAGTTGCTGATAACTGATCGAACAAAGGAAATATGTTGGCTGGAGCTTCGAAACTGTGATTTAATCCAGGTGTCATAGAAACGTTCCAAAGCTGCTTGTGACTCTCTTCCACTGCTGCTGAAGTTCGTTGCCGTAGGTTGTTCTTGGATCAGATGAGATGAGATAAAGCTACTGCCGTGGTATGGGGCAAAGGAAAGCAAATGGTTAGTACGCGAGTTAGACTCGAAGAATTGAGCTATCTGCAACACGGAGCGTGATGCACCTGTTGCTGCCCAGTGATTGTACTGACTAACCAATTTCGGTGTTGACAAATTCATTCTCCAGTAATTGGGGTTATCTTTTTCTGCAACATGTGACCCCATCCTATTGGAGACCATGACTAAGGTGTTTGTGTCTCTGTAATTCGTCGGAATCTCTTTTCTTTGGTGTGGGAATGTTCGTACTAGTTGCTTGACATTTGGAACAGAGAGACACATTTTGGCTACGCTTTGGGTGTCATTATTTAATTTTAGTAAATTATGGATGCTATCTGTACTACCCTCGGGTATTCCTAATTTAGCAGTGCATGATGAATTCGTGGGAACTGTATTGGCATTTTGTTTGCTGTCGGGAGTAAGCAGGGTTTGGGTTCCTTGGATGTGTAGAGTGGGGTCGTCAAGTTTTGGCGATGTTTCCTCCTTCAACACATCGTCACTTGAAAGGATCTCTACTGATTTCGATAAACTAGCTTCAGATTTAGAGATTTCACTTAGATTCTCCAGGCTCCCTTTGCTTAACCGATTCTTTACAGAACTGCCTGTCCCCGTGCCTTGCTTCTTCCCTGGGCGTGTATCAATGCTTGCTCTTCGTTGCCGAGGATTTGCTGCCCCCTGCTTTGAATTGGGATCGATAGAATTTTTTCTTACTTTTGTCTCTCTGTTGCCCTGCGAAGATACCTTTTTCGTGTCAGGGTTGGGTTTAGACGATTTGTCAGTCACCTTTATTTTTTCATTGCTCTTTGGTTCATGTTTGATTTTTATTTCGCTTTTCATCTTTTTGGATTTTGATACCTTTTCCTGGAAACCCTCTGCCTCACCATTGTTGTCCAAACTGACGGGTGACAAAGGGCGCTGTGAACTTGATGTTTCCTTGATGTTTGGATTGTCATCATCTTTTAAATCAGGCGTCGTCAAAGAACCTGATCTCTTCTCACAAGTGATCGTTAGGTCTGTATTTTCTTCACCTAAGTCAAGTCTGGCAATTTGTGGATTTTCGCCGTCATCGTTCTTAAGATCTTTATTTTGCACGTTGTCTTTGCTACCCCTTTTGGAACTTTTCGATTTAAACATATCATTGCCATTTTTATTTGCATTTTCCTGTTTTCCTGTCCTCTCCAAGTTTGCGTCATTAATACCTTTTTTCGTGGCAGAACTCGTATCATTTTTAACTGTTGAGTTGTGACCAACATCATTATCATCCCTTGACGTTGGGTTATTTTGGTTATTCCAAGATGCTGAGAAAGTCCCGTCTCCACCCGATGTCCAAGATTTTTGGCTTTCAGTATTTTCTTTTTGTTCCTCTTGCTCTAAATATAAGGTTTTAGTTTCTGTTTCAGAAGATAAAATGTTTTTTGTTATGGCATCTGATGATTCTGTTGTCTTTTCAAGTGCTCCATCGTGATAAGAGCTGCCTTCAGAGCAGCATGTTTCTGGCTGCGATATATTTTGGTGTGGTTTGTTGTCAACTCCAGCAGCGTTTCCACTAACTAATGTTTTTTCCTTACAATTTTGATTTGACTCGTCGGACTCGTTGATGCTGTGCTCATTCTCAGTCATATTCATTGATGATACATCGTTCTTGTTGACCTTTGTTTGTAGTTTACCGCCAACCTGTAACGAATCTCTATTTTCTTCTTCAACGACATTCTCTTCCTTTATCGCTTTCCCTGACACATATTTGGCAGATGTTTCATTGGAAGTATCTTCTTCATTTGCTTTTTCTCGATTCATATCCTCATCAGTTATGTTCATATTACAAGCTAAATTTTCGCCCTGGTCAGACACCTCGTGTATGATTTCATCTTCAGATTTACTATTCAAGCACTCTTTCGAGCCCAAAACGTCTGCATTTTCTCTAATAGCCATTGTTGCAATATCGGTCTTTTTGTCAGGTACTGTTTCTTTCTTCAGTTTTCCTGAATTGCTCATTTCTGGCTCTTTTCTCTCCGCCTTGTTATCCGCATTCTCTGTTAGTGTAGGCGCGGTCTCATTAGTTGTTTCAGATTCATGTTCTGCGTGTTTCTCATTGGATTCATCATCTGGCGATAACGTCTTGGTTTTTATCTCAACATCAGAGGCCGCTCTGCTGAGGGATCTACCTGTAGAATGCGGTGGAGTCTTTCGACTGGCAGATGCGTCGTTGTCAAGCGCTAAAGAACTACGACGAGAGGACGAACGGCTACCAACAATACTTCCATGCCTTGATGAAGAAGTAGTACTTATCAAACTATTTCTTCTGCTTGTTGTTAAACTAGAAGTAGTGTCACGACTCATACGTCGCAAAGCAGGTTTATTTTCGGATAAGCGAGAGGCCGAGTCCTTGCTCGGGCGACGAGATATCGTTTTGCTGTCGACGGGTTTGAGGGACTGTGGTTGTGCTCCTTTAGTTTCTCCACTTTTTGCAGGAGATGTGTTTTTTGAAGAAGTCTTTCTGGTGGCTGCCTTTGTCGCTTTACTGTCAGTTTTTCCAGCTTTACTAGGTTGTGTGTCCGATGAAATTGTACTTTTTCGCCTTGTTGCTGCCGCAGCATCTACTCCAAGACTGGTTTTTCTAGCGTTTGTTGCGGAGCCTTTCCTCTGTGCACCAGTATCTGACGCTGCTGCGTTAGGGAGTTTTACGGTTTTCTTGGTTACGTCATTTGAAGCGGGTGATTTTGCGAGGTGCGAACCTTTAGAAGCTCCACCTGGTTTTAATGCCTTACCTTTTGAAGAACTCATCTTGTAAGATGCTATAGCGCCTAATGATAGCTTGCGAATGATAATGCGGCTGAGAGTTTTTTCTTCTTACTTTTGATATTGTTGCTTTTTAGTCAAATTTGTGGATTCTTCAACGTCGTTATTCTGCTTAAAGTCCCTCCTATTGGCTGTCTAAATGCAGGATTCATTTTTTTAGGTAGCAATCCTACTGTCCACTTAACAGGGCTACTTGCTCCAGTGGTCCCATCGTCCGACGACAGTAAAATGTCATTAAAGAAGTGACCCTTTGTTGTTTTCTGCCTTGATCTTTGAGTGAGAGGTCAGACCTCTCCCAGGCGTTGAGATATAGGGGCAATTATTCCGTTATAACAGCGCAAAGTTTTTGTCCTCAAGCTCAATTATATTATTCTTTAGCACGGTAATTTCTCACCAAATCTCAATGAAATCTGCGAATCATGTTCCCCAAAACGATGTTGCATTAGTATTATTTATTTAGTAACACCAGTAAAAAGATTATTCACAGATTGAAAATGTTATTAGTTCATTTCTTTACTTACACGTGGGTCAATGGCCTGGTGCGAATTTGCATCCTCAATAAAGAAATTGCAAATTTTTTTTTCAGGTACAGAACTCACCTTCATACACTGTAACAGCAAAATGGACACAAATTATTAACAGGTTATCAAATCATTAACATTTCTGTTGTGGTTGACTGCCAAAAGACTCGAGGGGGCCTTGTCACTTTATCAAATCTGTGAGAAGGTTGGCTTGGGGTGGACGCGAAAGACAGGCGATTAGTTTTGACGTGTCTCCTTTTATGCTGACTACACTATTTCTGTCCGTTTTCAAAATCTGTCGTTTATTTAACATCATATGCATGCTCTGGTTATACGTGTAACAACCCCTTATCATTACTGATATTTTGATCAAAAATTACCTTGGAGTTGCCAACGTCTTTAAACTTCTCTCGATATAAAAACTTATATCAAAATTACACAAGGCATAATTGAAAATTAATTAAGTTGTTGAGCAACACGCGGTAATAATAAAAAAAAATTCCATTTAAACAGTCCATTGTCCTAATTACTCAGTCTATAAAATATGAAGTTTTTAATAAGTAGTCTATGGTTAATTTGATTTACCAATGACATATTGAAGGAATTCCCATTTGAAATAGCACCACTTCCAATGATATAACAGTTTAAAGGAATGCAACGGTTTAATAAGTTGTAATATATTTCATAGCTCAATCCTAAATTGTGCGAAGTGATCCAAAGACATCTTGTATTTCCATATCATCAACCAATTTAAACAGTTATCCATGTTTTCTGCATCCTCTCCAGTCACTTTAAACTCAAATTAGACTGTGTCTAAGACTTGCAAGTGATTAAAATTTAGCAAATTTGTGTACTTTATTTTTGTACATCACTGTCTTCCAATAGGTGTCACTACCTCCGGGGAAATGTTGATATCTGGCAAAAGTGTGCAAGACAAGACAATGTCAATTTTATCTTCCAAGTTGAAAAGATCATTAGTGAGTAACCTTAAATTGTGCGACACATCCTGCAAAGAAAATAATCAAATTTTAGTATGTAATATACAAAGTTGGGAATGCTGTGTTACAGTTAATCAGTCAACAAAATATCAGTTCTAAAACCCACAAGTAACACTACATATAATACCTATAGCATTTAATTTTAGTGTTACTTAATTTCATTCCATTTCTTTTCCCACCTGTATTGCATTCTGAGACTTCACCAACTGTAGTGTGGTATTCTTTAGCTCTTTGCTTCCACCAACATACACTTGATGTACAGTGTCTACAAGACTTCTCCTCAAACTAACATTTCTTTCTCCTGGAGAAGTAAATAATTGATCTGCTATTTTTCTGTTGAAAAGTTTAGTAAAAAATATTGGAAATATAATCACAGAGAATGCCAGAGGAGACAATAGAAAGCTACCCTGACTGAAAGAGCAATTCTTATCTCTATTATGTCATTCCAAAATTACCCTAGGCTGTGTCAGTTATTTGATATCATATCAAGAATAATGTTCAAATTACTAGTACTTACTGAGTTTTTTGTGGAGCAATCTGAAAAAGAAAAAGAAAAAATTAATGAAACTACATTGCAAACAAGTGCATGCAAGCACATGTGGGTGCATGCACGCACACACACAAACACACACACTATTAGTATTTTGAGTTATCTACACTGACTTTGATACATCCATGACCTTACTTTGTTATGCATGGACTTACGTGTCATACTTCAATTCTTCTTTTTCAATAAGCCTGGTTTTAGGAGTTATTGGTCCATGTAAGCTGTCACCACTTTTACTTGTATCAACTGTTAAAATAAATTCCGTATAGAGTAGTTAAACAATATCATAAAGAAGCATACTTTGGAAAAGAGGTAAGCAATCTCTTGTACTTAACAGTACCAGTATATAGCATACAAATCAAATTAAACTATTTTAAAATATTCCAATATATTTACAAAAAGGGGGGCAATCAATCAAAAATGACTAAAAATATGATACAGTGAATGTTATTTGCAAAATCATTTTACCAAGTACTGTACTATTAACAGTGTGTAATAAAATGTCATCATGAACTAGATGATAGATGAAGATTTTAATATGTACTACTACATGTATGATAACATTTGTAACTCATTTTAGATAGCAAAAAATTACCATTCAATGGGACCAAGTCTTGGTGATTTGTAAATTCATTATCTGTTTCCTCCTCTTCTGACTCTGATGCCTCTCCAGACACTACAACCCCCCTCTAGAATAAAAAACGATGTTAAACAAGATTTAAAATTAAGAACGCTGCACAAAATCTATAAACAACCACTCATGTTCAGAGAATCACCAGGCTTTTGCTATGGTTACTTTCGACCTTAGACCTTATAGTCTTTTATGTTGAAAGGCTTACAGACTTATTCTTGACTGTTATACTATCAAATGTTACATTAGTGTCATCTTATTCTTACCCGCATAATTTTTCAAAGCTTCAAAGAATTGAATGTGCATAATAAAAGATTGACAAGAAATGCCTGACCATTGTAGAAAATAATCATATCTGAGTGTGTAACTCCCCTGTTAATGAATTATTTAGAGTTCTTACTACTCTACATGTACATGTAGCTCAATAAAATATTGCGTGTGTGGACAAACAATAAAATTAACAAACAGCATTTTGACACGCTTTTCACATCAAATGCAGTTAAATGGGTGGGGCCCTGAAGATACTCTTGGGGTGAAAATGTTTGTTGTACAACCACCTGTACCAGTCTACGACTACAAAGCATGCCAAATTCCCAACTTTTAAACTTAATCTAACCACATGTTTTGAACTCATAATATTTTCCACTTCTTCATCTTCGTCTGATTCTGAAGCTTCTCCTTGTACAACAGTTTGAAATTTTGATTGCTGGTCCATAGCACTACTTCGTCCGATTTTATACCCCGTTTACTCAGAACCCACATCAAAACATCACGAGGAAGCAGACTAAAATTATAGTAAACACTAGTTCTTTTGTAGGTGGCGCTACCGAAACGACAGCCTTCTCGATATTTGCGTCCTTATCACGCTTCTCTTGATACATCGCCCCCTACAGGAAATTAATTGAGCATTCGACACGAAACGTTTGTATTCTTGGACTTGCACCCTAATAATGTCATCCAGGAAGGCTAAAGTATCGTCATCTGATTCACACTCCGAGGAAGAACAAACTCCGCAAGCTTCTAGTTCTTCTGATTCAGAATCTAGTAGTTCAGAAGGAGAGAATGCGAAGGTATTTTGAGCCATCTCTTATCATGGTCTGTTTAACCTTAATTTTAAATGCCCCTGATGTTTACTGTGCCTTACGCTATATCAGCACTACCATATCCCAGGCCCACAGATTTTACAAAGTGAATTTTCCTCTCTCACAGTTAAGAGAAGTCCATCATTTAACTAGAGACATATCTGTTAATATCTATAGAAAAATCAATTTGTGGACCTGGTAGATGGCACTCAAATGTACATTAAATGATAAACCTTAAATAAAACACTGAGGCAGCGCGTTAGTATAACACAGAAATGCATGTCTGTCTGAAGTGTAGAATATACACTATGGTATTTGGTGAAGAAAAGTGACCCCTTGAAGAGTTGATTCGAATTTTAAAATTCATATTTTAATCTTGTTTTTGTTTAATTCTTTGTAGGGGTTTATGTTTCAGTTTATCATTCTATTTGAAAATATTAACTTGTCTACTTATTTTTCTGATTTTAAGAAGTGAAAGTTTTAAAAATTATTTACTCAGTATCATACATGGAAAATATTATTGATCAATTCTACCCTTATTGCTGTTCATTAAACCATTTGTAAATAACTTTTAAACTATTAAACCTTAGTCATATAGCAAAATATACATTTGCATAGTGTTATATTTTGTATGTCATAACAATTATGTTATGATTTCACAAAATTTTAATGATGTTTACATAAGTAAAGGAACAAAGTGAATTGGAGATGATCTATATAATTTTATTTATGATGTTCACTTTATCTTTTAGGAATCTAGTTCAAATTCTGAGTCAGAAAGTGCTGAAAGTTCTTCAGAAGAAGAGCAAGAGGCTGGGGCAAAAAATAGTCTAGATTCTCCTTCAACAAGGGTCTCATCTGGGAGAAAATCTACCTCACCACATGTAAGAAAAACAAAAGCTCAGGATTCTAGCCCTGGTTCTTCGCCATCCTCATCTCCTAAAGCTAAGAAAAAGACAAGGCATGACAAAAATGTTGGTAGTCCTGAGCAGGGAAAAAACAAAGAAAATGTTGAAAGGAATGAAAGAAAAAGGAAAAAAGAGTCAGTTTCTCCTACACCTAAGAGAAAAAGATATAGCAGGGAAAGACAATTTCACAGTCCTACTGTTGATAGAATCAAAAAAGAAAAAATAAGTGATGATGAAGAACCAAAGTCAGATTGCAGAGTTCAAGATGAACTCATTCATAAAAGAAGACTCAAGGATTCTCATAAAAAAGGTTATAAACATGATAGTCCAAGTATTGACAGATCTCCCGAGAGACACAGACATTACCGTCACAGAGAGCAGGAAAGGGATGGTAGATCCCACAGAAGAGATGAAATTAGAGGCCGGGATAGAGACAGAGAAAGACACAGGGACCATAGAAACCCACATGATGATCATAGGGAGAGGCATAGAGGGAGAAAGGATCATAGAGATCATAGGGATGACAGAGATAATAGTAGGGGTGATGCAAAAAAAGACCGCTATGGGAAATGGGAGAGCAGTCAACATGAGGGATCAAGGCAGAGAGAAAGAGAACGTGACAACAGCCATATGAGAGAACAGAGAAGGGATAGGGAAAGAAATGATCAGCAAAGAAAGGATAATAGAAATCGGCGTGGAAATAACCCTTTCCAAAATAGTGCTGATGATGGAATAGAATATGGAAAACCTGCTGGTGACAAAAAGGTGGAGAACAAGGCAGAACCAGAAGACAAGGCTAAACCAGACTTTGGTTTATCAGGAAAGTTAACTGAGGACACAAACACTTTCAGAGGTGTAGTCATCAAGTACAATGAACCAGCGGAGGCTAGAAAGCCAAAAAAGCGCTGGAGACTGTATGTATTCAAGGGATCTGAAGCATTGCCGGTATTACATGTGCATCGTCAAAGTGCCTACCTCATGGGACGGGACCGTAAGGTGGTTGATGTGCCGGTTGACCACCCATCTTGCTCCAAGCAGCATGCTGTGTACCAGTACAGGCTTGTTGATTTCCAGCGTCCTGATGGAACAATGGGGAGAAGAGTAAGGCCTTATATAATAGATCTCGGATCAACAAATGGTACTTATGTGAATAATCAAAGGATTGAGGCACAGAGGTATTATGAGCTAAAGGAGAAAGATGTGCTGAAGTTTGGTTTTAGCTCCAGAGAATATGTCTTGCTCCACGAGAAGACAGACACATCAGAACTGCATGAGGATGATGAGGGAACAGATGGAGAAAGTGATGGTAGCTGATTTAATGACTGAGAAAATAAAGCATTGCCTCACTAGCATTTGGATCTGAAAGTTGAATTGAATAATGCAATATGAGGTACTTGACTGCTATGTCAGATAATGTTGCTTTTTGACTTACCCCATGAAATGTCCGAATTAGCTATAATTTGTATCATATTTGTACTGCCACTACATGCAACAGATCAGTAACATGAAAACAACATTCACTAGCTATTTTGGAACCATTATGAAATATGGAGAGACTTTATGAAAGAGCCAAAGTATTGATGAATCACTGCTATTGTCTTGTAATTACATTATCAGCATTTTATATGTATTAAAGCCAATTATTTTTGGTGAAAAAACATCTATTTGTATCCTCTATTTTAAGTGAATTGTTTTCATTAAAAACGTTTTACAGTGGCAGCCATAACTATTTACATTAGTTGCTTTAGATCCTGATCTCTTTTATTGACAGTGATATGTAAATTTCTTCTGACAATAATATTGAAAACCACATGAAAAGAAAATGGAGGATTTACATATGTAACATTCAATTTACAATACATGTAGATGACTTGTTTTATGGCCATCGAGACTGATCAGCACTCAACAATGACTGAAGAGATATTGATAATGTCAGTGTGTCAACATCTGGAATGTCATTTAGTTTGTCATTATTATAATAATTATTATTATTGATTTGTGACCCTCATACTTGAAAAAAAAACTGTCCATGTATAACTTGTACAAACAAAGAAGTGTTTTGTTTCTAAGATTATAAATCTGATTTTGTTTTTCATATAGGTGTATGTAAAGGCAAATCCAGAAAAAAAAAGGGGGACTCAAGGGTTCACTCCATCCAAAATCAGTCATTTGCTCTCCTTTTGGGGAAAAATAAAAAACTCCACATGCTTGAATTATTATTATTGGGAATAAGAACTGTTGGACCAACATTTTAAACCTCAACCTACTTACCTGGTATCCTGGATTTGCAAGTGGGTTGGTAGGAGGAGGAAACAGCCATTTATTTAATTGTAGAAGTAGAGATTTTCATGTAGACTACTTTCAAATTTACATGAAAATATAGAGAAGCCCCTGGATAGATGAAGTCAAACTTATTGAGCTACTGAAAAACTGCATCCACATTTCTCCCTATCAAACTTATAAAAAAATCTTTTGATACATTTTTTTAAAATAAATACAAGTTGAATATATATATCGCCTTTTCTTTTCCATTAAACCTTGGGGGACAAATAAGACCAAGCAATCTTCTTTTAGTGGTTGATCAAAACCTTTCTTTCCCCAGCTTTTTCTCTTGTCCATTTTATAATTTTATAAAGACGTAAGCGGCAACAGATTTGCTTATGACGCGATAAAACAACTTTGAAGCTGATGTTTGCTCTGTTCAAAGACAGGTACTGTGCAATGCTTTAGTGATAACTGTATTCGATTTATGTAAGAATAACATTCTTGGTAGTACTAACGTTTAAAACATCAAGGACTGTCTATTAAGTCATAATGAACGGTAAGTGATGCACGTGTGTGTGTGTGGGTGGGGGGGGGGGGGGGGTAACGTTAATGTTTCCGTGAGTGAAAGGCACTACAAGTTACTTATTTATTTTTAATAAAATACACTTTTTAGTGGAATTGCATTGTAATGAAACAATTAATGTAGAATCTAAACGATGTAACATTCCTTATTTTAACACTCCGAGACTCGGATCTCTATAAGTATAATAATGTATTTATACTCACACCCAGAACGTATATAGTACTATATACAAGAATAAGTGATGCCCCCTGTAAATGTACAAGTATGAACATGAACTTATTTTAACACTCCGAGAGTCGGATCTCTATAATAATGTATTTACATGTAAGGCCTCTCACACCCAGAACGTATTAGTACTACTACAAGAATAAGTGATGCCCCCTGTAAATGTACAAGTTTGAACATGAATTGTGTACTACATTAACACTAACTATTTGAATACTGTTTTGTCTTTTCAGGGCTGTTAATATGAGATTTATAACATATGAGTTTAATTATAAAAGTTGAAGGCTACTGATAATGAGGAAAAGAGATGCATCATCAAAGACAACAATTAAGACTGAGAGAACTCAAAAACAGATAAGTGGATCACAAAAGCGTTCTTGGGATGACTCTTTACCACTTCCAAAGTTGAACTTCTCCGTAACAGCAGCAGCAGTGTTTTTACTAGCTGTGCTTTGTTATGCCAACAGTTATGATGGGGATTTTGTATTTGATGATTCAGAGGCTATTATAAATAATGAAGATCTTATGTCATCAGTGCCTCTCACAGATTTATTTTACCATGATTTCTGGGGAAGTAAGCTGGCAGGAAACACCAGCCATAAATCATACAGACCATTGACTGTCTTAACCTTCAGGTAAAAAAGTTTGAATATTTGGTTACATTTGTGAAGAAAAACTTGGCAAAAATGGTCTCACGCAGAGAATTATCTTTTAGAGTGCATTCCCATAGATTTAGATCGATCCATCTGGATCGACCTAACTCCCTGGGGGTTCAACCTAAATTGCTGTCAGCCGAGCGCGCACTGTAGTTAATTACCCCCTTACAGCTTTTAGTAGGTGGGACAGACATTTAAGCCGGCTAAGCTGACAGTAATCTAGTGAGACTCCCCATAGGGATAGATCGATCTAAAATCTGTGGGAATGGGGTCTAAGTCTTTGAATGTTAGCAAGCAGTGCATCAAGTACCCTGTAAAGACAAAGCTGTAGATCTGATGGATAGATATCACAACTGAACACATGATGTCATATGAGGTTTTGATTCAGCATATAAGTGATGTTGTTTGAATTTTTACAATTTCAGATTGGTAGGAATTCAAATAAATAAAAAACATTACTACATGTTATCTAAATGCCTTACCAATCTTTTGTAGGTGGAATGCTTATCTAGCTGGTGGTTTATATCCCAAAGGTTTCCATGTCACCAATATCCTCCTTCATGGTGTTGTTTCTCTCTTCATCCTGCATACTATTGTCATTTTATTTGGTGGGGTAAGGCTAGATGAAAGAGGCCGCATTATGTTTACTGCACCCAAAGCCTCCTTTCTGTGTGCAATGTTATTTGCAACTCACCCTATACATACCGAAAATGTAAGTTAAATTGCATTGTTACAGTACAAGCGTGTTCTATAATTCAAAAGTTTTAGATTGTGAAGTGAAGAATTTTGCATAGAATATTCTTTGATTTAAATTTTTTTTCATTTAAAGATAAAACTCAGTGAAATGAAAAATATTTATTAGACCAGAACCTGGAATATACTCAGTCTGCAGATATATTAAACAGTCATGTTAGTTGTAAGTTCAGAATCATTATAAAAAAACTGTTAATGTTCCTAATTAAGTTCTTATTCTTTTTTTTTACTATTTTTTGTACATAAACAGTAGTATCAAATGTAAAATAGACAGCAACATAACATGTGACATTGAAGGCAAACAAATTATTATTGTTATTTTTATTTCAGGTTGCAGGAGTGGTTGGTAGGGCAGATCTCTTGTGTGCCTTTTGTTTTTTACTGTCATTTTTGTGCTATGTGAGAGCTTGTCACTCAGGTTTGTATGCAGTTTCATTGATTTGAAAGGTTTCAGGTATACCCTTTGTCAAAGCTGCCATGCATATAGTGATGTATGATTGAAAATGGCTTTAAAACCATCCAGATCAAGAACATTGAAAACTATGAGTTGTAACATTGTAACAAGTTAAAGAAGCAGTTGTGTTTTCACCAATGGTCAGTGATTTGCATATTTCACTTTTCATGAAACCATCACCTGACTTTTGAGCATTTATTTTTCAGATCCTTTACATTTTGGACATAAACCAGAAATCATATCTGTGAGCCATTTACTAAGCAGTTTGGTGTTGTGTGGCTTATCTGTTCTTTTTAAAGAACAAGGGATTACTGTGATAGTAAGTGGCTATTGAATTTATTTTATTTTGAGCAAATGTGAATTTGTTCTGTAAAATGCTGTGATGTTCTCAATTTCGACTCTTTAAGTTAATGATAATATATTTAACTTTGGGAGGGGAATATAGTCACCACTCCAATTATAAATGATATTTATGGGAATAAATTGTAGTTAAATGTATCACTGTTTTTTATAGGGTGTCTGCAGTGCATACGATATTCTTGTTATCTGCAGAGCTGATCCAAAGGAAACTATTATGTCTGTGGTACAAAATTTCACTCAGTCTAACTGTGCAGCTTCTTCAAAAAATCAACAGGTACATGCATTTTGTTAACATGTTTTTAAAAATAGTGTTTTGTTATTATGGCAAATATTCAGTTTTATTCGACTATAAATAGAAAACAATTGGATTTCAAATTGTTTTCATGACACCTACAGTATATCTGACCATTTAAGAAGATAAAATAAAGCTTATAATCAATAAATGGTGATGTCTTTGAGAATGAATTTAGACATTATTTGAAAGCATACTGTATGCTTTCAGAAATCCAACCAGTGGATCAAGTCCCTGGTTTATCGTCATCTTTCATTACTAGCAGCAGGAGTGACTATTTTAGCGGCAAGATGGCAAATAATGGGTTCAGCACCACCAAAATTCCAAGAAGTTGATAATCCACATTCCTTTGTGAATGAAACTATGTTAAGGGTAATACTTTGCAATTTAGCATTATTGATATAAAATGTGATTATAAACATCTCTTTTGGTTCTAGCTGATATTTAAGAACTGTGCATAATATGTTTTAACTTGTCTTGAACTAAATTTTCAAGCATTAAGAGCACTCTACTGGGAATTAACTGTAACAAAATACAGGTAGGCAGTGTATGATGATTATGAACTTTGCCTCTTGATTTTTGTTTTAACTCGCATTTGCATACTGCAGCTTTTTTTTCTATAGGTCCTAAATTACAGCTATCTCTACAGCATAAATGTTTGGCTGTTGCTGTGTCCATGGTGGCTATGCTTTGATTGGTCGATGGGATGTGTTCCTGTGATCTCAGTCTACACTGACCTACGTCTACTACCAACACTTGCATTCTTGTCAGGCATGGCCCTTCTCTTTTATTACTGTATTTTCGGAAATCCATCTAGAATCAAAAGGTTAGAGGGATACCTTCCTAGCTTGTAAATAATTAGAAGTTGTATGTGAACACTGTTTTAATTATGTATATCATCATATACTTAAAGGTACTTAGTTTGGTTCATATAACAGTTGTCAAAATGTTTTTGGCTGTATGTAATAGATTGTTGAATATAGTTCTGATAATAAATCAGAAACTGACTTAATTGATTTGTCGTTGGACTATGCCCTTATATTAAAGAATATAGTATTGTGCAGATTAGTCATCCATTCATATTTTAAGTGAGTTTCTAAAACCTCCTGCTGGACTTGTGTTGTTATACTTGATGATGTTATGTCTCCATTGCCAACTATTCTCAGTCTTGTTACAAAGTCAGTCCTTAACAAGACAGAATAATTCCTGATCACCTATTTTGTCATTGGATCAGCTAAAATCTCAGCAACAGAGACACAATGTCACCAATTTTAATAATATAAAGTTCAATAATAGAAAATGTATAACTTTATTCTTGGTTAAGATATGTTTTAATCATACAAATAGATACTTGTTAATATGAATATAAAACACTTATTTTGTTCATTTTCAGGCTCTATGCTCTGTCTCTTGCCATTCTCATCATTCCTTTTCTCCCAGCCAGCAACCTGTTCTTCCGAGTAGGTTTTGTAGTGGCAGAGAGGGTACTTTACTTGCCTAGCCTGGGTTTCTGTATGCTGGTCACCTTGGGTTTAGTGCACATAAGCAGAATACAAGCATTGAGGAAGGTAAGTGTCAATGTAAAATTATATAACTAAATTGCTTAAGATGATTCACTTTTATTGGTTTCAAGACAACATTTTTCTGCCACTACTATATGTGTTATTATGAAGTACTTTTTTCCCTGAGATATCAGTTACTGTTGAAATGCAGTGAATGAAGAGTCTTCATAGCTGGATGGATTTTAATGATTTTGAATTCCATACTACAGAAATATGACTTCAGAATCCAAGCACATGCCTAAAGTTGTTTTCTTATTTTCAGATTGCAAAAATTTTTGTTCCAGTAATACTCATAATTTTCATCATCAAATCTATGCAGGTGGGGCTATTTTATCATTCATGCATTTTCTAACAAAATTCAGTTGTGTTGTCAAATTAAGAAAAAAATCAATTTTAATGTCTTCATATATACTTTTCAATTGTGGATGACATTTAGCATTATTTCTGAATACTTCATAGATTAATAAAGGGAAATAAATGTGACTAAGTGTAATTAGGTTTAATGTCAAATTGATCTCATGTCTAGTCTTAATATTGTAACATTTTCTATTCAGAGAAGCTTAGAGTGGAGATCAGAAAAGGAACTGTTCTTCTCTGGTGCTAAGGTTTGCCCAGGCAATGCCAAGGTGATGAACATTCTGTTAGTACTGGAGAGATTCTTTATTGTAGCATTATTTTGTTATGGAGAAATGAACATAATTTTGAAAATGATCCAAAAGAGTGAAAGTGTTCCCTTTCTTCAAATTTGATTAACCATTTGATTTAACATAAGCTTGTTAAAGCAGGAGCATTGATAATATTAAACTTTTGTCTTTTCAGGTTCACTATAACATAGCCAAAGTGAGTGCAGATGGAGGAGATACATCTGGTGCTTTAGAGTCCTACAGGCTTGCAATAAGGTATACATGAAAGCATGAGACGGGTTTTCCATCTTATTAAATCATTGCAGTCCACTCTCCATTTTCATTTATTCACTAGGAGTAAATCGGGGTCAGATTTTTATGTAAGAGTGTTTTTTCCACAGAAGTATACTGCTGTACAAGTCACAACAAAGAAATATAAGTGCTTGTCTTTGTCTAATGTACACAATGTTTCTTTCACTGAACACCTTGTTTTTGTTCTAGGTTAAATCCAATGTATGAGCAAGCCATGAATAACCTTGCCAATATTCTTAAGGACAGGGGTGAGAGTGAGGCAGCAGAGACGTTGCTTCTGAAGGCAGTAGAGATTAGGTAAGTCCCTGGAATGTAGTTTTATCATGGATATCCTGTTTTTCCTTCAACAATTAGAATCATTATTTTGCAGGCACACCTTAATGTTGAATTTTTGTTCTAAAGGCATTCTAATGCTGGGCTAATGAAGTGTTACATTTTAATGCATTACCAAAAGCCAACCACTGCAAACAGCATAGTTATTACAAAACCCAATTTAACTTCCTTGTTAACAGTTTTGTTTTCACTTAAAAACCTAGAGTTGATGTAACTGATAAAATATCTTTAAGGAGTATTGATATGTTTGTTAAATGTTTTAATCATAAAATAAAAATATTGCTAGGCCTGAGTTTGCTGCAGCATGGATGAACTTGGGAATTGTACAGTCTGATCTAAAAAAGGAAAAACTGGCAGAACAAAGCTACTTTAATGCCCTGACGCATAGAAGAAAATACCCAGATTGCTATTATAATTTAGGAAACTTGGTAAGTAAAGGTAACTGTAAAAAGTAAAATGCAATTTGAATGCAATGCAAATTTCAGGTTTGATTTTTTTCTTAATTTAAGTGTTAATGGAGTGTAGTGTAGTGTATGTAGTGTATCCTGAGAGGAAGATATCTCATGTTTGGTGTTTCTGTTTCAGCAATGTCCAACTTAAGCAGTTGTAATTGATGTAACCTTTAATGCATTTCAGTATTTGGAGACAAAGAAACATGATGAGGCCCTTGCAGCTTGGAAAAATGCGACTTTGCTCAGACCAACTCATCTGAATTCTTGGAACAACATGATACTTTTGTTGGATAACTTGGGTGAATATTATGCTGTAATCTTGGAGCACATAATGATATCAACTAATACTTTTCTTCTCATTGGAAACAGATTTTGATTTATCTGCATTTAAGTTTAAGAGACAAAACAACACAAGATATGCATGTATCTCATGCATTAGTTCTATAGAGGAAACAAAATGCTCTGTATAAAGGAGTAACAAGGATATTTGGACTTTTAAAAAAGGCTTTAGGACAATATACATTTGAATGAATTTTCAGGCAGGATTGATGAGGCTGAGAGAGTTACTAAGATTGCAACCAAGTACCTGCCATCAGAGCCCCAGTTGTACTACAACCTAGCCAATGCACAGGGTAATGCAGGCAGGCATGAAGATAGTGAAAGAAATTTTCTTAAGGCAATACAGCTGGATGGGAAAAAGGCAGTCTATTATGCAAACCTGGGTAATGCACATGGTGATATGTGATTGTACGAAGTAATATTTTACCCATTTCCTTTAACTTTAAATCATTCAGATCTTATCCATGAAAAATTAATTTCACTTCATTATTTTTTCACATTTGAATTCATTTCTCTGATACATATAATCTGTATAATGCATATGATGATTATAGCACGATTTGCACAAAACCCATGTTTACTTATGGTGCTTTGATGAAATTCTTTGAGTCAACAGGTTAAGCTATCAATAGTATTTGTGAATTTAGTATGTAAGCATATTTTTAAAAAAAGTTACCATCAATTACAGGAGAATATAACACTGAAATATATATGACAATGAATAATTCAATTAAAATTCCAATCTTTTTAGGTGTTTTGTACCACAGGTGGAATAAATATGAGCAGGCTGGGGCAGCATACAGGAAAGCATTAAAATTAGATCCAAATTCACCTCTTGTAAAAGAAAACCTTGAAAAGTTGCTTAGAAAAATGGAAAAAGAACAACAGGAACATAAGTCTGCTAGAACCTGATCCAAGCATTTTTCATACGGTCATTACAGCTTAAGAGTTGCATTTTTATCTAAGTCTCAAACATTTTAGTACTTTTTGTGGCTATTTATATTTGATATAAGTTACAATCCATGAGTTATTTTTAAAATATTTTTCAGATTATCATTACTTATCTCAGCTTTAATGCCAATACTAAGAACTGCAGTTTGCCTATACAAAGAAAAGATAATAAAAACCCTTAAATTATTTTTCTATATTTTAAAAAATGCCTCTGCCACATCATGTAGCAGAGTTTAATTTGTATTGCCCAGGTAAGCCCAAGGACTTACTGTAGATAGGGAGATGATTTTTCAGTTTTACCTCTTGTAATTGTTATTAATACCTTGTGAAATTTACTTTATGTTCCTTGCAAATCCATGATTTCAACCTTGATATTTGTGGGCCCACGGTTGTTAAAATAATAATAATAGTTATTATTTTATTAACGTCTCCCGTTTAAAAATAAAACCCACCCTACTAAGGGTTATAATTGACTAAAAGTAAAAACCTGTGAAAATACAATTTAAATTCATAGAGTACTCTAAAGTACATTACTTATCATTTCAACACATTTAAAAAGAATATTTTATATAAAGACTTTCAATCCCTCTCATATGTATAAAATTTATTTCTTCTCCACATCATTGCGTTTGTTGTTTTTATGTACAGACACAGATGTGTCTGTACAT